TCGAACACGAGACCCAGTAAAGTATCCTAAACACCTCAGAATTTTTGGGGCAGGCCAGGGACTATACAAGGTGAATACTAGGACTGTGAGGAGTGATTGGAAATGTGTTGAAATCAGCACCAAGTCACCACAGTCAGCCTTTGAAGATCTCTGTTGGAAGCAGGGGCCTTCTAGAACTTTTCTTCACTATGAGCATGTGTGCATGCACGCAGGGTGTGTGTGTGTGTGGAGATTTTTCTAGTGTCCTCCCGACTGCCCCGTTTTTATAAGGCCTACTGTAGACAGTATTCCTCAGGAACCATAGCCTCGGTAGAGCTGCGGACTCCTGCGAAGCCATTCCCGAAGCCCTGTGCTGATGGGCTCAGCCTGGGAAGGCATCCCCAAAGGAATAAGTTAGCTTTGCTTTGCATTCTGTGGCCAGTCTCGTGTTTTTCAGGATGTGGTCTGTGGACCACCTGCATCAGGATCACCTGGGATTTTCTTTTCAAGCACATTCCTGGGTCCATGCCTCAGACTTGCCAAATAAAAAACTCTGTTGGGCAAAGCCGAGGAATCTGCCTGTAACAGGGTCCACGTGGATCTTTGCAGCCTGGAAGTCTGAGACTGAGCACTACAAACTCCTGCCTGGCCCTGAGCCCCATGTGCCCAAAGGAGGTTCTGGGCTATGGGGTGCAGTGCCACCCGCAGACCAGACAAAGCGCCCTTTCTCTCCTGCCTCTTCTGTAGTCAGACACCAGGGCAGCCCCGAGGTCGTATATTTTATATATTTGGGAATATGCATGTATGTTTTCAGTTGAACAAAAGAAAAGATCTACTCAAAAATAAGCCCGAAAACTGCTGTCTTTGATTACAGCAGTTAGAATCATTTAATACCTGAACTGGGGTTTGCAGACTCAGATGCTTGCGGTAGCTTAGGTAAGTTACACAGCGGGTTCCGGGGGACTCGAGGGCTGTGCTGTAGCTAGAAGAGGAAGTGGTTATTGCCGAGGGAAAATGTAACCCTAGTGTGTCCAGATCTCCTGAGTTTTCCAGAGAAGTTGAAGCGGGGATTGTTTGTGGACTCTGGGTTTTTCCGCGGCAGGCGGGGGGCACAGCACCCGACTCTGCAGTAAGCTCTGGAGCCAGTCCTCCTGAGAGCGAATCCTGGCACTTTGGAAAGAGAAGGGAGGCCCTATTACTAATCAGTAGGGGTGACAGATGAACAGACTGTCCCAGGCAAACTGATGTCCCTGGTCCTAAGCGCCATCTTTGTATATGAAAAACCAATAAGCGGCATCTGTCTGTACACTGCTCAGTAAGCGCCAGGTGGCCCGCTCGAGTTTACGGGAGGCATCTTGTGTAATCAACAACCACCCTGGGACGTGTAGAGACTCGTTAACTCTCTTTATGCTGGTGAGGACACTGAGGCACAGAGAGGTTAAGGGACTTATCTAAAGCCACACCCTGGCAGAGCCATTTGGGTTCCAGAGCCTTAGGTAAGGACATCCTCAAACCCTCTTTTCAAAGGGAAGCTAAGACGCAGGATGGCATGGCTCTTGGCTCAGGCCACTGCTCATCACACAGGACTGTGCCTGGCCCTCAGGGGAGACTTGCTGTGCCCACCATCTCAGGGCTGGTACTTCACAGCATCACCCAGGCTTACAAGGAGCTGTAGACATGGGGATTAAATACCAGGTCAGTGCCAAGTGCATTTCATCAGGTCGCTGCAGCCAGTCCTCAGGCAGCTGATGAGTCTCATGTGCGAGTCACAGCTGGTGAAAGTGGATCCTGCCTAAAAGTCAGCCGCCTAAACCCGACACCTCCTTGGCTGGCGGGTCACCCGAGACCCATAGACTAAAAGGACAGCTGAGGACACAGTCCTAAGGAGCCCTCTGAGAGGAGAAACAGTACTGAAATGAGGGGTGGCCCGCCCCAAGCTCCAGCATCTCGGAGCTCCAGGTGCGGCCCTTTCAGTGAGTGTAGAGAATGATCTACCATCGTGAGAGGCATCGATGCTGGGACTGAGAGGTTCCCACCCAGACACGCCTGGGACTTGCATCGGCAGTGGAGAAAACGTGCTTTCATGAAAAATGCAGGGAAACACGATGCTAAAAATACTCTCTTCAAACAAGGACGGCGCAGTGTCGAGAATAGTAAGAGCGCAGTGATGGGTACACAGGTGGTCCTTACACTCTTTTTTAAAAGTTTCAGATGTTCAAAAGTTTTCCATGTTCAGAAGTTAGTTTTATGGGAAAAAGAAGACTCCAGCGTGGGGGTGGGTACAAAAGGCTTTGAGTCTGCAGTGTCCTTGCAGGGAAGATAAGGGCAGCTGGGAGGGTCGGCTGCAATGGGGACCGTGTGGCAGCCGGCCCAGGGCTGGGAGGGGCCCTTCCTTTCTATCTGCCCCAGTGATAGCATATCCTAAAGGGATATTAAAGTCTCAAGGGAAAAAATGTTCACTATGCTGTCAATAACAGAGTGGTTTCTGGCTCTGAGCAGTGTCCCTGGACACTCTTAACCCAAAAGGAAATGTCTAGCTAAGAGGTAGGACTCAAATATCATCTAGTCTTCACTCTACCTTGGTTTCTCCATTTGTAAAAATAGGAAGACAAATGTTTCCATCAGATGAAGTTAGAAAATATCAGTCATTGCGAAGGTCACAAACATCAGTGATCACTTTCTATGGAAGGCCTATATCTTCGGAGCTACAGAGCAGATGCTAGATCTAAATGGTCCAGTTGACGGTCCATCTAGGAGACTTGTCAAGAATCCAAAGCCTTCCCATGTGGTATTTCATTGTATTCTTAAATGCTCCTGGTAGTTGCGTTATTTAGAGTTGTTTTTGGTGTGGGCAAACTCCAACTCTGACTGGCTTAAGCAAACAAGGAATTTACTTGGAGGACCTGGAGCAGCTCACAGAACTGAGGGAACGGCCTGATAATCACAGCTTGGTGACGTTTGTGCATGTTCTCTGATGCAGCTTGCTGGCTCTTATCTCTTGTCTTTTGATCCCAGATTGAGATTCCTGGAAAGAGAACCTGACTGGCCTAGTCAGTTCTGGTGTCCCAGTGGGGAGGGTTATACAGCACTAAGCCGGCCACTGAGGGCCACCCCCGCCCCGCCCCCCAGTGGAATTCCTTTTGCACTGGGTAGCCGCCCTGTGGCCATAATACCGGCTTGCGCTATGTTGTTATCTTCCCTGTAGCTGCAAGCAAATGTTTGAAGGTCAAAGGATTCCTGTAAGACAGGCCCAAGGACTGTTTAGTTCTGGAAAGGTCAGCTGGTTCTGCTGCATGTTTCTGGCCAGAATGAACCCTCCTCCGCAGGTCTGAGTGGAGGGGTTTGATCGTCATTATTGAACCCAGGAGAGCAAGGACGAGATGGCGGCCTCCCTTGGCCTGCGCGCATGCATGCCTGTCCCGGGCAGCCCTGTCCATTGGGAGCCCAAGGGGCATTTTTGTTTAAAATCTTGAGTTTTGCTTGGGAACCTCAGATCCTTTCAAAAGGAACATGTACCAAAAGCACCTGTGTCTCCCCAACCCCACACAGGAGAAACAGCCGGGCGAGGAAGGGCTCCGCTGAGAAGAGAGGTGCCCCAGCCTCGCAGGCCCGAAGTACTCCCGGCTAACTCTCCTTGGCTCCTCTTCTTTCACCCCTTTTTTTTTTCATGTGTCCCCTGCTGGGAAGTGGCCTGCAGGGAACCCGCCTGCAACCCAGGCATGTGCCCTGACTGGGAATCGAACCTTGATTGTCTGGTTCGCAGGTCCGTGCTCAATTCACTGAGCTACACCAGCCAGGGCCTTCTTTCACCCTTTAATGAGGGGGTGAAGGCAGAATTTCAGCTGAGAAGAGGAGAGATTGGGAACGAGAAGGAATTGATCAGTTTACCAGTGATTGTCAAGCCAGGGTCGAGGCCAAGAGGAGAAGGTTGAGTTTTGAAGCAAAGGCCACGTCTACAGAGAGGCTGGACCGGAGCTTGGAGAGCGGGGGCCTGTCCGGCCTCACAGAGGACAAGCCTAGAATACTGTGCTTCTGACGTGCACTGAATGCATCTGGGCTGCTCTGGGGCAGGGCAGGTTGGGGAGGAAGCAGTTGACTTGGCCTTGGAAGGGGGCCTTTGACAGGAGACTGGGATGTGGGACTCAGTCTGCTTCTGCAGCCTCGTGTGATGCTGTGTGGTTAGGGCGGTGCGCAGCCACCCTAACCAGGGGGAAGGTGGGCACTGAAACCCAGCCACACTCCCCTTGCCAACCCATGAACTCCATGGGCCGTGGCCCAGCAAGCAGTGCCTTAGGCTTCAGCTTAGATCCTGGTCCCTGGCAGGCCTCCATCTATAAGAACATTGGTCTCTTTGCTTGGACTTAAGATTCTGGAATTACCAGCCTCCTCAGACCTGAATGACGTACCTCTACTGGTAGCAAGACAGAATTTTAAAACTGAGTCTTGAGCTCCTCTACTTTAAGACTAAAGAAATCAAATAAGGTGATATCTGTGAACGCCATTTACAGTCAGAGGCATCCTTGCCAGGGCAAGGAAGCCTTTGTCCCCAGCCAGGGAGCCCTCCTGAGGTGGGAAGGAATATTCTCTCACTGATGACGTGATGGCGGCTGGCGAGGGGACACATTTCATGCCAGGCGCCTGGGCCAGCAGTGGGAGGGCGCTGCCTGTGGTCGGTGCTGAGAGGAGGGAGGAGAATGAAGCGGGGTCGAGACCAGGTGGGCGTGCCTCGGGAGGAACGACGGCAGCACTGCCAACCCTCTCTGGGCGCCTGGCACAAGGAAGCAAGAGGCAGACTTTGCCTCCCTCAGCAGAGAGGACAGCACCATGGGCGCTTCCCCTCCCATAAGTTCAGGATATAAGTGCCAACAGTTGCCATGGAAATCTTTATTCTGAACCCCTTGAGATGGGCAGTTCAAGCCCAGCCCGTGAGGAGTGTCTGCACAGTCACTTGCGCAGCCTGGATGTCTGGTGTACAGTGCGGACACCATACCTGCGTCTCTTCTTTGTCTTGGGTTGAGCAGATGCAGGAGCTGGAGCAGAGGCTGCAGGAGGCAGAGCAGAGAGCAGAGAACGCGGAGACCCAGGTAACTGGGGGAGGGGATTGGGAAGAGTGTGCGGGGGAAGCGACCATTGCCCTTTCTTCCCCTTCCCATGGGCTCATGTGGATATACTCCTCCCATGGAGAGGTCCTCACAGGGACAAGGAAAAGCAGAAGTCATGGATTAGAACTGCTGAACAAATTAAGGTGTGTGGAGCCTTCGATGGGTACAAATGAGTGGTTAAGTGTTGGTACAGTGAGTGAGTGGATGAGTCCAAATAGACTAAGTTATGCTGGGGTAACAAATTAAGAATAACAGCTCGCGGTTTATCACATTTACTCCTCACTCCTGGCTCTTGGCCATGTATAAATGAGGGGGCATGGCTGGCCTCAGGACACTGCATTTGCAATGTCCTGCATTTGCTGTACCTCTCCACTGAGGGTGAGCTGAGCATCCTGCTTCACACAGTGATTCAGGGATCCAGGCTGGTGGAGCACCCCATCTGCCAGCTGGACCATCTGGAACACACAGCCTCCTTGGGTGCCATGGTCGGGAAAGAGCTGGGTGCTCATGCACCAGCTCTGATGCACTCGAGCCCAGAAATATCTTGTCATTCCTCTCAGGCCCATTGGCTGCAGTGAACTGCATGCTCATCGAACTATTAGGAGGGCTGGAAATAGCGGAAGCACGTGGACAAGCAGTGAGCAACAAATGTCTGTGCCACCACGAGGCTGGAGCAGTTCTTCCCCAAGGCCGTTGTCTTGTCCAGCTCATCGCTGCTGGGGCCCCCAGAATTAGAGGACTCGACATCTTGTCAATTCCTCCCCTCCCCTACAAGATGAGGCTTAATAAATGGTCACTGAATTAATTGGCCCAACAGCCCTGGATAAGGACTCTGTCTGGGAATCACGGTTTGAGGTATCAGGAGGAGTCATGTCCCAATCCTGAGACAACTGGTCTTTTTCAGGTGAGTGTGATGGAAGAGAAGGTGAAACTGTGCAATCTGAAGGATGTGGGTTCAGCAGGCAGCCTGCACCAGAAGTACCAAGAACTGCTTAAAGCCATGCAGAGCAAAGATGAGCTTATCGGCCAACTGGAGGCGCAGCTGGAGAAGCAGGTAAGGGCTACCCAGCAGCAGAGCGCAGAGAGTCTGTGCCCTCTGCAATGTCTGCACCCATTGGCCCCAGCTTCTTGAAATGAGCCCCTCTGCTTGACCCTGTAGTGGTGGGGAGCTCACTCCCTCTCAAGACTGTTCTTTCACATAGAGACTTCATTATTGGCAGGTACGTTAGGAGCCAGGCAGGGGATGTGGCAGGAAAAGAACCTTGGAGGCAGACGGATCTGGGTTTGAATCCCATTTCTAGCACCTGCTACTTTCTAGCTGTGGGCAAATTACTCACACTGCTGATTCTCAAGTTACACATTAATACGATAGAGGTTGTCCATACATCAGAGAGCTGTCAGGAGAATGAACTCAGTGATCTGTGTGTTGCATCAGCCATGAGGCCGGTGTTTGGTAAGGAGAGCTTTGCTTCTCCACCTTGGCCTCATGCCCCACCAGCACAGGGACCCGAAGCTCAGCCCTGGTGTCGGAGCGGCACCAAGCTGGCCTGGCAGCCTTGGTCAGCTGGTTGGCCAGAGTTTCTTGGTGAACCCGAGTCAGCAGAGACCAACATTGCTGCCTTCTCTGAAAAGTGGGGCCTCCTGCCCTGAGCACTTGGAAGCCCAGGAGAGGCCACTGTACAGCATTGCCGCTAGGTTGAGCCCCCTTACTCCCGAGAGGACATCTGGAGCATCCCCCACCAGTTCCCTATGCCCGGCCTCCTCCCCTTCACAATCTCATTAACTTCACCCTAATTCTGTCCCTTCCCTCGGCCCTTGGCCTTGCCTACCCAACCTTTCCTGGTGCCAGGGCTTCATCATTTCCAACAAACGATTCTGTAGCAGGGCCAGAGGACTTTTAATTCTTTACGAAGGTCCCAGCTAATTCTGGTGTACCTTCCCACCATCGTGGGCAAATTCATAATCACTCATCAGCATTCACTGACATTTTCTTTGCGGGTGTGGCTTTGTAATCTGTAGGGCACCATGAGTTCTTGTAAATGATGGGAGAATAGAATTTTGACACATGGAATCTAATGAAGTTCCACTGATTTTAGAGGACACCTTCTCTTCTGAGTGGTTCACAGGAGTGGCAGTGTCTGGGGATTGGTGGGCAACACGATTTCTGCTAAAACTTAGGTTGGAAGAAAAGTCATTTTACAATAATAATTGGTCAAGATCAGACTCGAAAGAGTGCTGGAATGCTGTTCTATACGTCAGTAACCTGGCTTCAGTCCCAGCTGTGCCAGGAATGGACGGAGCGAGTGGTTTCTCCCCTTGGGACCTTGGTTTCCACAGCCACACGAAGAGAGTGTCAGAGCACATCGGGGTCGGCAGACTTTCTATAAAGGGCCAGAGAGCAGATATTTCTGGCTTTGCGGGCCACCTGGTCTCTGTTGCGACTACTCAGCTCTGCCGTTGTGGTATGAAAGCAGCCCTTGGCCATGTATAAATGAGGAGGCATGGCTGGCTTCAGGACACTGCATTTGCAAAAGTAGGCAGGTGGAAGGCTAGATTTGGCCTGGGGGCCGGTTTTCAGACCCCAAACCAGATAACCCTCAGGCCCTTTCTGCTCTGAAATACTGCGTCTGACACTTGCACACTCCATCTTATCTGTGCAGATGCACTTGTCCTTGCTTATGTCTGGCGTCTTCCACTGGTGGCGCAGCTTGTCCCTGGAAGTATAACCAAAGTTGTTTCTGCTGGTCTCTAAACTTGTCCAGAATATACCAGTTTCCTTGCATTTTAGATCAGGGAACTTGTATTCATTATAGAACTGGTTGATCACTCAGGCACTGTGCCGGGCACTGTGTCCCTCCTTCCTCAGGGCTCCAGGGGGGAGCTGTGTCATCCCCGACTCGAGAGAGGACAGGGAGGCCCGAGGGTTAGGCCTCTGCCACAGCACATAAGCGCTGCCCTAACCGCAGGAGTCGGAGTCCCACAGCCTGCGTTTCGTTCCATCCTGGGCTGCTGTGCCTCCCACCCAAACCTCGCTCTTCAACCGCCTCACGTGCTTTTGATTGTTTCAAGGGAATTGCTGTACCTGTGTGCTAAGTTAGCTTTATTTTCTGTGTTTAACTATAAAGACGATACCTGTGTATAGTAAAAAGCACAAAAACCTCAGAGGAGTATAAAGTGACAGCATGTTCCTGCTGTCCCCCATCAGTCCTTCGTTTCCGCTCCTCACTGTCAACCTCGTTCACCGCGACTGTTTCTTGTGCATCCAAGCGCAGTGTTCCGCTTTCACGCTGTGTCCTCAGCTGAGCATTTTTGCGGGCATTTGGGTGATTTCCAGTTTGTTTTGGTTGCTTTGTCAAATTGTAACTAGTGATTCCTAAGCGGTGGATTTATTAGTTCAGTGCTATGTATATTTAGAACGTTAACTGATACTATCAAATTGCTCCCCAAAAAGGCTTTGCCAGTGCGTGTCCGAGGGGCTGATATCAAACCTTTAAATTGTGTTAGACCGATGGAGGAAAATGATGTCTCATTTCTATCAAATTCCTTAAAGTTGTGATTGAGGATGAGCAGCTTTTCATGGGTTTCTTTCCCTTCTTTTTCTGTTGATTTCCTGTTCATATCCTTTGTATAGTTCATGTTCTTTGTATAGTAAAGGATACGGTTGATATCCTTTGGACAGTTTATTTTAAATTAGCCCTTTGTCTGTCTGTATGTATGTAATTTGTGTTACAAATCATCCTCCAATTGGTCTTTTGATTTTGTTTAAGGGATTCTTTTTTTTGGGGGGGGTTAGATAGTCATTTATAGTGATGGTATAGATTTATTAGTCTTTTCTTTCATGACGTTTTGGGATTTCCCTTATGCTTAGGAAGGCCTTTCCCACTTTAAGAATATTTAAAATAGTCATGAGGGAATTTACCTTTTTCTGTCAGGACACCCCATCCAGTTGCCTGACATTTCCCCTCAGGGTGTCCTGCCTCCCATTCCCCACCAAACCCATGGGCTCAAGGCTCTCTCTTTCTTTTAGAGGCAGATAAGAGCTGAGGAAGCAAAAATTATACAAGAAAAAGCTGCAAAGATCAAGGAATGGGTGACGCTCAAGTTAGCAGAGGTGAGTCCCACACTCTTCTCGGGACGGGAGCATGGTATGGGCGTGCATGTGGGGGGTTGCCCCGCCCCCGGCCTTTCTCTGCCTCTGCCCTTGGAGGGGCCTTGACTGACCTTCACTTTGTTAACCATCTGTCCTTCATTCAGCATAAGCACTGAGACCCTTTGCTTCACTTTCCCCGTCCTCTGTCGTGGTTGGGTTTCCCTAGAGGCCCCCGATTAGCTGTGTGTTGTATTTCAGTTTGGGGAAAAGGAATGAGCCTCATGTGGAAGGCACCCAGTCAGTGTTTCTCTCTCACATTGATGCCTCTCTCTCTCCCCACCCTTCCCTCCTTCCTCCCTTTCCCCTTCCTTTCTCTCTAAAAGCAATGAAAAAATGTCCTCGGGATTATGTAAACACATACACACACGTATTATATATAATATCTATATCTATAGATATAGAGATATATAGTATATAGAGAGATATAGAGATAGATGTCTCTATATATTATATAGAGATCAATATCTATATGATATAACTCTATATACTATATTATAGATATATAATGTATTATATAGTTTAATATATAATATAGTATATACCATATATTATCTATATAGCGATGCAATATATTGTCTATATAATATTTAATATATATAATAACTATCTATATAAATAATATAATGTATAATATACAATATGCATATGTAATCTACAGTAGATAATATATATATAACTTTATTCAAGTGTAGGATTTAGTGGCATTAAATGCTTTCACAGCCATCACCACTGCCCATTTCCAAAACTTCAGCACCCCAAATGGAAACTCAGTACCCATTAAATACTGACTCCATTCTTTCTTCCCTACCCCCAGCCCCTGACAACCTCTATCCTAGCCTGCTTTCTAGAAACTCCACCATTTTTGTAGTTCATCACTTGCTACGGCTTTGTTTAGGAGACTCAGGATTTGAAGCTACAGTGCTATTGTAACTTCAGTGTTTGGCTACAGTGCTCGCCAAACAAACAAAAAAAGCAAGAAACTCCTCTTTCTAAATACAAGGAAAAGGAGTTGAAGTTTGGAAAACGATGAAGACTCACTACTGTTTCCTCTGCACTGATACATGCGGCTCACACCTGTAGGGCATCAGCTTGTTTTGCCTCCTGTCCTGGTCTGTGGCCACACCTGCTAGACTGAAGGTTCTTGGGGGCAGAGCTGACACCTCCGCATGGCATAGCTCTGACCTCTTGCTGAAAGGTGTGTTGGGTTTCATTTAAAAGAAAATGCAGCAACCAGGCGGATGGATCTCGTAAACATTCTGTTGTTTAAAAGAAGCCAGACACAAGGATATCCTGTAGAATTCCATTTATATCAAGTTCAAAAATGGGCACAGCAAAGCCAGTATGTGTAAGGACTCGTACTTAGATGGTAAAACCCAGAACACAAGGAAGTGAGTCTAAGGTCTTGTAAACTTAGACCAGTGGCTGTCTCTGGGGAGGGAGGGACTAGCGACCAGAAAGGGGCAAGTCCAGGGCTGTTGGGTGTGCCGGTGAGTAGTCTCTTAACCTGAGTGGTGGTCACATGAGCATTCATTTCAGCATCGTTTGTTAAGCTGTTCATGGATGTGGTATTCAGCTTTCTGTGTATGTGCATTTCACAATTTTAAAAAGCTTAGAAATGAAGCTGGGGGGAAAATGTGTAGGGATTGTCAAACGGAATTCAGTCCCAAACAGAACTGGTCAGCACAGATGGAGGCAGGGGGTTGGGGGTCAGCACTGTTCTTTTTCAAAGATTTCATCTTTAAAAAGGATTTTTGCCATATTTTGAAGTGTATCTCTAAACTTGTAAGCCGAGGATTCTAAATCTTCCTGTTTCCTTTTGCCCAGCTGGAGATGGAGAATCAGCACCTGAAAAGCTGCAATCAGCACCTGGCGGAGCAGGTGAGAGCCCTTCAGGATGCTCTGGAAGGTAAGGGGGCCATGGCGGGGGCTGTGTTAGTGCGTGCGTGCCTGTTGGGATGTGGGTGTGTTTGGTACGTATATTGGGGTGTGTGTGTGTGCACCAGGTACGTATATGTGCCCATGTGTGGGGGTGTGTTGGGGTGTGGGGCTGAATACGGGAGCTCTTTGATGTGCCCATTTCGGCCCCATCCACAGGTCTTCACATGGCACCCGCAGAGAAGCTGCTGGTGGTCCCCCAGGGAACCCCAGAGGAGGACTCTGTCCCTTCAGGGCCAGGAGCCCAGCTGATGTGGCAGGACAGTGGTCCTCACGCCCCGGATGCTCCGAAGGCGGCTCTGCCTGCACCTTCTCCAGTCCCTCTGCAGAGTCGGGACTCTAAACCTGTCCCCAAAGTGGGAAGCCCCGTGGAGGAGCGCAGTTCCATCATGGTCCGTCCTGGGCGTATATCACAGGCCAAGACCCCTCCACCTTGTCTGGGAAGAGAAGGGTCTCCTGACCAGCTGGTACCGACTGCCAGAGATGATTTGGCTTCCTGGAAGGAGATCCTGGCCACTGCTCAGGGAGGGCCGCTCCTTGGGACCAAGACCTCTGCGAGGGAAGGCGGCCCGGGCTGCAGCCTGACGCTGCCAAAGGTGCGGGCTCCCAGCACCCCTCATGACAGTATCCAGCTGGCCAAGCGACACCACAGCCAGCCCCAGGTGGGTCCTGGGCACTTCAACCGCATGGTGAGCATTGAGATTGGAACCCTCTCCGCCCTGCATCCCTCCCGCCTTTCCGACGTGGCCGCCCTAGTTGAGTTCCAGGAGGAACCGGAGAAGATGGAGATGGACAAGCAACTTCAAGGCAGCAGGAAGGAGGAAAAAGAGGGCCTGATGGCGGCAGGAGCTGAGCTGGAGGAAGTGGATTCTGGGAGCAAACCACCCACACCCCCCTTGCACAGGTTTCCGTCCTGGGTAAGAGGCCACCTGGGGGCTGGGCAGAGTTGACGCCATGACCACCGTTGGTCGAGTACAGCCACACACTGAGCCTGGGACAAGGCAGAGTCCACCAAGCCTGCCCAGATCACCCCATCATCGAGGTCAGGGCCAGGATTAGGGATGTCTGGGGGGGGGTGGGGGGCAGCTGTCATGTCCTTAGTGTGTCACTCACCAGGCTGGGGCTGTGTGCACATTTTCTTGTTTAATCTTTGTGGCTCTTGGAGGTGGCGCAGTGGTGGCGGCTTAGAGCGCAGGTCCCAGAATCAACCCACCAGGCTCAAATTGCTAACTCTGTGACCCCGGGCAAGCTACTACACCTCAGGGCCTGGGTTTCCTTATATGTAAAATGGGGATAATAGTGTCTCCTTTGTAGGGTTAATGATCTAGCAAGTACTTGCAGTAGCAGTTCATAGGAGGTGGCAGGTAAGTGCTGGCTGTCACTGTTGCTGAGCCTGAGCTTCCTGACTTGCACCATCGGATAAAATGATGGGATTGCTTCAGAATCAGTGACCTGGGGCAGGGACACCGATGAAACAAGAACAGCCAGGCACGCGTCTGTGTAGAGCTGGGTGACGACATCCTACTTTATTCTGTCCTCTCCTTTTGTGTCTGACGTTTTCCATGATAGAAAGTTAAAGTGCAAAGTGGGTGGGGTGGGCATTCATAAGGCTGCACAGGTCAGCGGTGGGGATAAGGTGAGAGAGAGGTGGAGAGCTTACTGCAGAACCTGCTGCTAGGGCAGGGATCCTTGCCCTTGCAAGGAGCTAGAAGCTGTGTGGTGGCTGTTTGTTTTTTACAGATTAGGAGACTGCTATCCCCAGAGACTTAGTTTCTTGCCCAAGGTCATGTGGTAGTTAGTGAGGGGCCAGTCTTCAGTGTAGGCTCAGCTGCCCCCCCCCCCCAGAGCCTGGCTCTAACGCTCCTGCTGACCCGCCTCTGAGGGGACATCGGGGAGCGGCTGTCAGCCTCCTCCTGGAGGGCGTCTGACCCCTGGATGCTGCTGTGTGTGAGGCAGCACCGCAGGGAGTTGCAGACTGGGCGGTGGCGCCACCCGTCACCACTGCCTGGGAGGCCCGCCTTTTCAGCAGCCCCTCCTGAGTCTCTTTTGGAAATGCTGTTAGTTCCCAGCGCTTCACCAGCCCCGCTTATGGGCCACACAGCCTTAGCAGTGAGTGCCACAAGGGGACCTGGATGACTCAAAACACTGCCCTGCCTGGCCGAGGATTGCTGACCCACCTGTCCCTGGAGCCCCAGAGTCATGGGAGGGCCACAGCGAGCTGCTTCCAGAGGGGAAGGGGACGGTAGGGGCGCAGCAGACAGACAAGGAGTAAAGGCAAGTGGGAGAAAGGGGAGGGGCTTTGAAAATGGAGGAGGGGCCAGGCAGGGTGGGATGCCCTCCGAACCATTTCTCCTCTTGTTCACTGTTGTAAACACAAAGGCACTGGAATCGTAGTGCAGGGTGGGCAGTGAGGGCGCTCTCAGCAAGGGGCTTGGCTCCGTCTGGGCCCTGAGCCTGGGTCTCTCCTGTCAGTGTAGGAAGCCCCAGGGGCCAGGGAGCCCAGCCTCTCTTCTCAGGGGAGACCAACTGGTCAGTGACCATCTGGGGAAAAAAGTCAAGACCAGAAGTCCAAAGACGTTCCCCCATCCGAGGGAGTCGGACAGACTTGTTTGCCAATTTAGAGTTTGCAGAGGCCTTTTTCTGTTGACCTTCAAAATAACCTTAGGTGAGTGAGGTGACTTTGAGACTAGGTGACCTTGTGTGAAGCACTCCTGTTTGTTCAACAACAGTCGCCTGAATCCCTCAGTGAAGGTGAACTTAAATTCCCCAAGCTGCATTCCATCCCCCTCTGCGGTGGGGGGCCTTTTCCGCCACTGCACACAGTGATAATCTTTTTTATGCCCGATTTACTCACAGGCCCCAATTGCTCTGCCCTCTCCAGTGCGCCTCCTGGGGCCCCCCCACTGCCCTGGGTCTCAGCCCCTGCCATCCCAGGCCCTCCCTCTCCCCCCCAGGTGCCTCAGCCACCACTGCCTTACTGCCCGGAGCCCAGACCGTCTCTGGTCCCTGTGAGTCACCAGTCACCTGAGGGACCTTTGTTGTCCTTTTATCTTGAATGGAGAAAAGAAATACACAGAAGCATAGGTGGGGCCTGGGGAGCCACCTACACCATTAGAAAAGCTCCCCAGGCCTGCAGGCGGACTTCAGACCAGCAGGTGGACTTCAGACCCAGGGGTATCCAGGGGCCAGGCAAGACTGAGGGCTGGCGTTCCCCATTCAAGGGTCTTGAACAGTGGGTTCCCCGGGCCTGGGTGAGTCACACAGGCTTGTAGCTTGGACTGAAGCCTAACCATGACGTAACATTACAACCATAGAAAGAACGTGTCCCAAACACCTGGCTTAAAAAAGGTCATGCCCTCCCCACGGGGCTCTGACTTCCTCATTGTCAACATGCCATTTCTAGAGGTGGAGCCTGAGACCCGAGAGTTGGAGAATGGGTCAGGTTCTGAGACACAGGTCCCTGGCCCCCTCCTCTGGAAGCTCCTTTCCCTGAGGGAAGGGTGGGTGTTGCAGAGGGTGAGTATTTGTTGGGCCCCGACCGTAGGCCAGGTGCTAGATGTTCACATCATGTGATGTCATCTGGGTGCTTCCCACAGCCTGGAAGGTGGGTATCACGAGGCCTGGCCCGGATGCAGACTCAGCTCTGCCTGTCTCCACACCCGGGCTGGGGGCGGACCGGGGCGAGCGCATCCATGGGCTCTGACCCTGCCGGGACCTCTCATTCCAGGAGAGCCGGATCTACGCTGTGGCCACGTCAGGCATGCATCTCTCAGACGCATCTCCCAGGAGCAATGCCACCTGCTGCGGTGAGTGCCACGTGGGGTGCCCACAATGAGCAAGGTGGGCGTGCAGGGGAGGAGAGGATTCTGAGCAGCATCCAAGGCTAGGGTCACCTGGCACCCCATTCCCTCCCCCAGCAGGTAGTGCTCAGGTGAAATCACACAGCCAGGGCCACCTGGGAGAGAAAAGGAAGCTGTACAGGTTCAGCCCATCACCTGCTGGGTGGGAATGGCCTCGAACAGGGTGGTAGCTGATTAGAGAGCTGGAAGGGACTTTTGAGGAAGGGTCCCCCAACCCAGCCTCCCACCTGCACTGGCTGCCCTTCTACAGTACAGGGCTGTGGGTAGATGGAGCCCCCAATACCTTGTTAGATGAGCCCCCTAAGGGAGCCCATCCCACCAGTGTCTCCTAAGTCACGGGGCAGCCACGGAACATCCACAGTGAAGTGAGACTGAAGAAGGCCTTGGCCCTCATCCTAAGATCTGTCACCCGGTCCGTCACCCCGAGTACTATTTCAGGGAACACTGTCTGCCTCTTTCCTCCTCCCCACTCTGCCCAGGTCTCTGCCGCCCCCACACTCCCTCCTGGGCTAAGGCACTAGAATTAATCTCATCTGTCTCCCCTGCCCCTCCAGGTTCAAGGCCTCCTGCCCTTTGGTCCCCTGGGCCTTTCTCTGGCCTTGTCCACAGGAACTGCACAGCGCCTGTCTACACAGCCCTGAAGGGGGTAAGAAGCTGCTGTCCCAGGAGGGGCCTGTCCCCATCCAGACAGGCCACTTGTCCCTCAGCGGCTGGGGCGGGGCTCCGGGGTCAGGCTTCCGCACTCACAGCTCTAGGCGGGGAGCTCAGCCCTCCGAGTGTCATTTCAGTTTTCTCGTTTGTCGTACTTTTAGTGAAAAATTCTACAAACACAAAACTTTGAATCAGTACAATTGTGGGCAAAGTAACAGGTAGAGGGTAAACCCATGGCTGTTCCATCTGTCCCCCGGTCTTGTCACAGGCATGTCCCAGAGGGCAGTGCGGCTCCTTCCAGAATTTTTTCTGTGTTCAAACACATACTCCCATGTACACTCCCGTTAACATCCCTACGCTTCTTAAAACAAAAACCAGACATCAGCGCAACGTGTTTTTATATACATCTTTGTCATCTTTTACTAGTAGTTTTTGAGATCATAAGTTACATTTCGTAAAACTCTTTGTAGAAAAGTAAAAAGCCAGAAGTAAAGTTGCCTCTCACATTGCTGTCCTGAGCCCCGAGCCCCAGAGGCGGCTGTCACCACTGGCCGGGGGCCGGGCCAGTCAGGCCCTCCGCCACTCCAGGAAATGCGTGCACAAACATCCTCTGTGCCGCACTCCGTCCTGCTCACACACACACCCGCGTGCACACAGCAGGGATCATACTGTAAGCATCGTTCTGTCCCTGCTTGTTCACCCAGCTGTGTGCCAGCTCTTCCTCCCCCTTTGGGGCTGCCCAGCACCCCTTGCTTAGATGCCCCCATACCTACCTTAACCTGTCCTGCACTGATTGGCAGTTTAGGTCATGTCTCTATTTTTCTCTGAAATAAATGGTATGATGGACATCATTGCGCAAATACATCTCTGTGCACATATGTCCACATAGTTCTGTAGGACAGAGGGCTAGAGACGGAGGGCAAATGATATGCATGTTTTAAATTTTGACAGGTAGTGCCAAATTATCTTCTTAAAAAAACTATCACACTATAAAAGTACCCTTGTCTTGACAATGTCACCAACATTGAGATCAGACTTTTTAAAATATTTAATTAATTTTTTTAGAGAGAGGGAAAGGGAGGGAGAAAGAGAGGGAAACATCAATGTGTGGTTGCCTCTCACACGCCCCCTACTGGGGATGTGGCCAGCAACCCAGGCATGTGCCCTGACTGGGAACTGAACCTGCGACCCTTCAGTTCACAGGCTGGTGCTCAACCCATTGAGTGAGACCAGCCATGGTGAAATAATCAGACTTTCAAAATGTCTGTCAGTTGAGATGATCTCTCATTTCCTTACCCCCACACATATTTGCAGCTCCTGTCTCACGCTTGGGCCGTGGCGTAGCTTTCTGGCCCCCTAGTGGCAGGAAGTAGAAGTTACAGTGGTCAGGTGTTCAGCTGGGATGGGGCACAGCTCCTTGATGGACCACACCATCAGCCCAAGGAGAGCCTTGGGTTAGGACACAGGAGTAAGGTCGGGAAAGGACAGTGGTCTGTTGGGGGGCCTGGCCAGGTGACAGTGCCCATAGGCCCCAGGCGGGCTGTGCTGGCCACACGCTGAGCACCCGGAGCTGGAGTGCAGCCTTCGCCTCAGTGGGAAGGGGGTCTGTCTTGCAGAGAGCCACGCAGATCAGCAGCGTGCCCTTTGTGGACGACTCCTCTGGGTCCGACGATGACTGTAGCTCGCAGGCGAGTTTCCGGACGTCAGTCTCCTGCTCAGAGTCCAGGAAGACCAGTGGACTTGGCAGCCCCCGGGCTATCAAGAGAGGTATGGGGAAGGGGAGCAGGAGAGGTGTGGGGCAGCAAGAGGCCCCTCGCCCCCTCTTGGACTGTCCCTGCTCGATCTCTGCCATGACCCTCAGCCCCAGACTCTGGGGTCCCAGACTGGCAAGGAACTGGGGCAGGGCATGGGACATGGGCCTTGAATCCTCCCTCTTGGCCAGGTGTCTCCATGTCCTCCCTGAGCTCTGAGGGCGACTACGCCATCCCCCCAGACGCCTGCTCCCTGGACAGCGACTACTCAGAGCCTGAGCACAAACTGCAGCGCACCTCGTCCTACTCCATTGAGGGGCTGAGCCTGGGCCCGGTGAGCTGGGGGGCTGGCCCGGTGGGGCCAAGGCGGGGCAGGTGGGAGCTGCCTGCCTGGGCCCTCTGTGCCAGACACTGGGCAGCGGTCACAAGAGGAGGGGTCCCTGGGATTGGGGAAGGGAAGGAGGGGGCCAGAGGGGATGGGGCGGGGGCGGGGGGTGCAGTTATGCAGTCAGGCACACACAGACCCCATGAGGAAGAGAGGAGGCCTGCTGAGCTCCGCATCAAACTGGGAGCAGCCAGTTAGAAAGCCCCTGCAGCTCACCGAGCCCCAGGGCTTTGCACACGGCCCTTCATTTTAGCCTCGTGCTGACCCTGGAATGCCGGGTGCTGACATTTACTGGGTTTTTCCAGTGTGCGAGGCACTGTGCTTCGTGCTTTTCACACACTGTCTCACTGGCCCTTGCAGTCCTTTCGGGGTTATTACCCCATTTTTGTGGATGAGAAGCCTGAGGCTCAGAGACATGCCATTACCTCGGGAGCCAGCAGTGACACCAGATCTCTCGTCCCCCAGCCCTGGCTTCACACCACCGTGCTCCCTAAACCCTCCTCTCCAGCCTGGCTGATGTGGCCACTGTTCCCCAGACTTCTCCCTTCCCTGCTGCCTGAAGGGCCGCCTTCCTCCTCCTTGCCAGCCTCTACCCGTGCAGCCCCTGACCGGCCTTCCGCTCATGGTCAAGCGTGCTCCCCAGACAGCAGAACCCTCCTGCAGCAGGGCCACCCATGCTTTATGTTCCCTTTGCAAGACACAGTGCCCTGAAAGCACACACAGGAGATACTCAATTATTTCTACCCGATGGCAGAGCCGTGACTCAATGGGGTCACTGTGGTCTGTGTGACGTTCAGGAGCCTCAGGGACTCCCCCTCTTTGTTCACCCTCCTCCTCCTCTGCACCCTTCCACTCCCACAGGAGGCACTGGAGAAGTCGGGCTACCTGCTGAAGATGGGGAGTCGGGGGAAGACGTGGAAGAGGCGCTGGTTTGTCCTGAGACAGGGGCAGATTCTGTACTACAAGTCCCCGGTGAGACACCCCTCCCCCAGGACTGTGGGGGGCACCGGCAGAGGGGCAGTGTGGCCCATAGTCAGAGGGCAGAGTTTTGGCAGGCGGGGAGCAGCTCTGAGCCACACACAGACCAGAGGCCGGTCCCTGGTTCTCACCGCAAACTCTGGCACTGAGCGGGCAATGGGAGTTCCAGACGAGCTGGCTTGGAGGTTCCTTCTTCCTTCAGAAGCCAAGTTCTTCTTTTGCCTGGTTCTGTAAAAAAAAACAACAACAACTGTTCTAACAGGTGACCCATCATCACCTCTTCCCCGTCCTTCCTACACTGTTCAGAATTAGGGAGCCCTGGATGCTGGGACCTATTTTGACAGGCCTCCCTGGTCAATAACCCATGTCAATGGTTTGAAGAGGGTGAAAAGGCCTTGACTCTCATGCAAATCTGGTTGATTGGTAGTGGCTGTCTCAAACACCACGTTAAGGATTCTGAGCCTGTACTGCTCAATAGGCAGGCGTGGTCTGATGGATTAGTAATGTCTGCAGTGGCACTGGAAATGGGATTAGTCTGATGGATTAGTAATGTCTGCAGTGGCACTGGAAATGGGAATGGTGATATATATGTCACTTATATGCCACACTTGATATAAAGAATGCAGTAGGAAGGATTTAAGGGCTGTGTAGCTTAGTAATAACCTGGTGGCTTCTGACCCAATTTTGAAGGCTCAATATAAAAAGAACGAAATCTTACCCTTTGAGGCAGCATGGATGGACCTAGAGGGTTTTATGCTAAGTAAAATCAGTCAGTCAGAGAAAGAAAAGTACCACATGATTTCACTTATGCATGGAATCTAAAGAATAGTATAAACAAAACAAAAACCAACTTATAAATAACAGAGAACAGACTGATGATTGCCAGAGGGGAAGGAGTTGGAGGTCTGGGTGAAAAGCTGAAGGGATTGAGAAGTACGGTTTGGTAGTTACGAAATAATCATGGAGGTGTAAACACAGCATAGGGAATACAGTCAATAAGATCGTTACTGCACAGCTGTGCCTTGGAAATATCCAGGGGAACACAGCCGGGCACTGGAAATATCCAGGGGAACGCTTTGTCAAGTTTTGTGATTGTCTAACCACTATGCTGTACACCTGAAACTAATTCAAAATAATATTGAATGTAAACTGGGTCAGAGGGACCCATGTTTCATCCCTGCTCCATTTCGCTAGAACCAGGATGCAGAACAAGTCACCCATCACACAGAGCCCAGGAAGGCTTGGGAATCACTTTACTCCTTTGCCTGTGACCTGGAATAAGATCATTCCTTTCTTTACAGAGTGATGTCATCCGGAAACCTCAGGGTCAAGTGGAACTGAACTCCCACTGCCAAATTGTTCGAGGGGAGGGTGCCCAGACATTCCAGGTAAGGATGGTCCTAGTAGCTAGAATGTTAGGCAGCAGAAGTGCGGGGTTTGGAAATGGCTGTGATGGAGACCAAGGCAGGGCAAAACAGACATGAGTGAAAGCCATTACATCCACCTTGGGGTTTGATCCTAATCTGTGAGTTCGAGGAAGGAAGCGGACACAGACTGTGAGAGAGAGGAAAGGTAGAAAAAACAGGGAGAACGAGAGGAGGAGGAGCAGGAGGAGGGGTGTGGACCAGGGGTTTGTGGCACCTCACAGCCAGGTTTCTGTCGTTCTGTGCCCCCCCATCTCCTCCCCCACCCCTTGCTCCTGCACAGCTCACTTCTGAGAAGAAAACCTACTACCTGACGGCCGACTCGCCCAGCCTGCTGGAGGAGTGGATCCGAGTCCTGCAGAGCCTGCTGAAGGTCCAGGCCATTGGGCCTCCTGCCCCGTCTCAGGGCGGCGCCAAGCCCACCGTGAAGGGCTGGCTGACCAAGGTATGGCTGGGGCTGGTGGAGGGGAGACATGGGCCTCCTGAGGGGCTGAAGGGCTGATTCCATTAGTAGGGAGTGTGAGTGGCATCTCTACTTAAGGACCTGAGTTTGACCAGGGGCTGGACATCTGCCTCCCTGTGGCTTCTCTTTCCCAGTCCTGGATGCACTTCTGGGTCACCTGGTTCTAGTAATGCCGGCTCATTTCTCTCTTCCAGGTGAAGCATGGCCACTCCAAGCTGGTGTGGTGTGCTCTTGTTTCGAGAACCTTCTACTACTATCGGACCCATGAGGACAAGGTACTCCGCAGCCTCACACAGCACCTGCTCTCTCCTCCCCTGGACCCCAACCCTGCTGCTCCTCGTCCTGATGGAGCTCTCCCCTGTACCCCAGCGAAGCCCACGACAAGTACACAGCCCACCAGCTGGCTCCTTCCAGAGAGCAGGGCCCGCAGACCCTCTGTGGGGTCTCGCCGCAGCTCCCCAAGCAGGCCTCAGCCGGGGAGCTGCCCTCTCCCCGCCTCATCCTGGGGCCTCACAGTTCCAAGAGGGGAGATGCCCCTGTTCCCTGCTGGCTCTCCCATTCACAGAAGGCTCATGTCCACAGCAACCCCTGGGCCACCTGCCTGTGCAGGGCGCACTCATAGAGGAAGTGGATCGGTCCTGCGACTCTGACGAGGACTACGAGGCCGGAGGAACCCGGTGGCTGCTGTCCTCCCACAGCACCCTGGTGATCCAGCCCCCAGAGCACAGCCCCACCTACCTCCTCATTGGCACCAAGCACGAAAAGGTGAGGGAGGGGGCGGGGCCAGTGATTCCCGCCTCCCCTCCTCTCTCCCCCCCCCAACTGATCTCCCCCATGTCCTTGTTTGTTTTCCTCCTGGACATTTTGGTGACTAGTATTCCCTGATTATGAGCATTCCTCATACAGAGTTTATTCCCAGTGGCCACTTCCTCATTGAGGGAGAACCGCAGGCTTAGAAACTGGGGCTCGTGTTCACCTGATCCCAAGTCTTTCCTCCTAGAAACAGTGGCCTTGACTGGTGCACACCAAACCGGCTGACCCCACCCTGGGCTCAGCCCCTTCGAGGAAACCTCCCAGGAGCTCTTGCCTCCACCTCCCCACCCACAGCTCATCAGATGGCTTTCTGTCTTCTTCCAGGATACCTGGCTTTACCATCTCACAGTGGCTGCAGGTGGCAGCAGTGCCAGGGTGGGGACCGCCTACGAGCAGCTCATTGGCAAACTGATGGATGGTGAGGGAGACCCAGGTAAGGGGAGCTGGGCCGTCATGGCCTGGATTAGGGGCTGGTGGCTGGGTAGTTTTTGGTCAGGAGCCCACAGGAAGCACCGCTGTACCTTGACACTGTTTTAAAGCCCCTGAGTCGCAGAAGGGCATTCCCATCCTAAGCTCCAGGGCCCCTGTCTCTGGTGAAGCTACTAAGGGGACCACTCTATATCTGGGGGAGCTTTTCTGGGAGGCAGACCTTCCAGGGACCTGGGTCAGTGTTTTACTTTGTTCGTCCTGCAGCTTTGCTGGCTGGGAGGAAGACTGAGGAAAGGAAGTAGCTGGTTAATCTATACTTAGCATTGTTAATCAGTACGTGACGCCTGACCTAGGCCTGGGGTACCTTGGGGTCTTTTATTTGCCACTGACTTTTAGGAGCCGGAGGCACTAACAGCACCTACCACACACACACCCCTGGACTGAGGTCCACAGCTTATTTATTTCAGGCTGACACACACTCTTCCGTCCAGAGCCGCCCCTGCAGGGAAGGGCTCCCCCGCACACACGTGCTTGTGTTGCACTCAGGCACCCACGCCTCCCACCCACTCTCACCCCTATTGCGGCCCTGCCAGCAAAGCAGTAGCTGCCTTCCTGGAAGCTGTGCTTGTGAGCGTGCTCAGTGCAGTGCACAGCTGTGTGCCCCACAGGCTACATACAAACTCAGCACGGCCCGTGTGTCCCAGTTACCCCTTGTCTTCCCCACAGATCAGAGGGGGGCAGGGGGCGGGGCTGGGGGGCAGGCTCCCTGACCAGCGGTAACGGTGGCTTTGCTTGCGCTTCGGCAGACTCCCCCATCTGGAGGCACCCCGTGCTGTGCTACAGCAAAGAGGGGCTGTACACTTCCCTCACCACCCTGCCCTCCGAGGCCCTGCAGACAGAGGCCCTCAAGCTCTTCAAGGTAAAGGGGGAGCGGAGCCCAGTCCTGCCGCCACTGGTGGTAGGCACCTTCACTGTGTGCCCCCAGGCTCTGCCCCAAGCAGTTATGCCCCTCCCCTGGGGGGAGGAGACCCATGCAGTTAGGGGGTGGTCTGCAGAAGGATCTTGAGGGGAGGGAGGCCGGAAGCTCTGGGACTTCATTCAGGAGCCCTGGGGAAGCACCTGTGAAAGTGGCAGGAAGCCAGAGGGGCCCCCCACCTCCTGTAGTGACCAGCAGGAATGGTCAGGTTTCTGTTGTTTCTGGACCCGAGAGGTTCCGACCTCTTTTAGAATGTTCTTTGCACCTGTCTGAATAGTCCAGCTTTTAAAGAAATGAATGTCTTGCTTAGGTAATAGAAACTTTTAAAGAAGGAAGGATTGAATCCCTAAGTAGCCTTCTCAGCAAGCAAGATGCTCTCAGTGTTCCCCTTAGAAACATTCTCTGCAGTGATCTGAGCCTCCCTGAGCCCTGGGGGGACGGCCCGTCTGTCCATTGTCACGGAGGGAGGGCCGGTCGGGGCTGTTGGGCTGCCTGTGCCCACTGTCGTTCCCCTGCCAGTCCTGCCAGCTCTTCATCAATGTGCCCATGGAAGCCACCTCAGTGGACTACCACGCGTCCCTGGCCCAGAGGGCCCTGCAGGTCTGCCTGGTTCACCCCGAGCTGCAGAGCGAGATCTACTGCCAGCTCATGAAGCAGGCCAGCTGCCGCCCACCTCAGAAGCCCTCGCTCACACAGGTAAGGGCTCCCAGGGTGACGGCTGACAGGTGCCATCGGCAGGGGCTGCCTGGGAGGCGGGAAATGGGAGGAGGGGACAGTGGGGGTGTCCTCTGAGCCTGGTAGCCAGTGGGCAGCCTCAGCGCCCAAAGCTGCCTCGGCACAGCTGTCCTCTCGCTGTCCCTTCTGGGTGTCTGTGTACCCAGATTGGGCAACTGCTGTTCTGGACACAGCTGGACCAACCTGGCTGTCCCAGCCCCCAGAGAAGGTGGGGGACTCTGGTTCAGAGAGTGTGCTGGCTCAGGGATGTGGGGGCAGGGACACTGCTGACTGAGCACGCACCCCACGCTGCTGGTTCCCCCATAGTGCTGGCAGCTCCTGGCCCTGTGCACCCCACTTTTCCTGCCTCAGCACCACTTCCTCTGGTACATCAAACAGCAGCTCCAGCGCCATGCAGACGCCAGGTGAGTGGGCGCCATTTCCTCTGCCGCCCCGTCCCTCCGGCTGTGGCATGACTAAGGGTCACAGGGGAGACCAGGATGGATTGCATCACCCACCCCCCCGAGATTTGCTCAGTGCTCACAGAGACGTCACCCATGGCAGTATACACAAATGGGCACCTGGAGACCTGGGCAGGCCTGGGCTTGTCTGCACACCACTCACGCACGCGTGGGTGTTTTGTGGGGGCCCACTGCCTCCAGCTTATTCCCAAATTCTCATTCCCTGTTGCCGTGTTCATAGAGACCCCGAATGGCAGATCAACACGGCAGGCCAGGCCTCCCTCAGGGCGCTGTCACGGCCTGCCCAGCTGTCGACGTGGTCCTGGTCGGGTCTGGGCCAGGAGCCAGGGTGTCCAAGTGGCAGAGAAGAGTGGATTCCCCAGTGGCCCCTTCTTCCTTCGCCCGTCTCTTTAGCAATGAAACTGGCCAGTATGCCATCTACTGCCAGCGGGCAGTGGAGCGGACCCTGCAGATGGGGGAGCGGGAGGCCAGGCCGTCTCGCATGGAGGTGATGTCCATCTTGCTGCGGAACCCCTTCCACCACTCCTTGCCCTTCAGCATCCCCGTGCACTTCGCCAACGGGACCTACCAGGTGCGGGGGCGGCACGTGCTGTCCTGAGTCTTCTCCTATCCTTGTCTTGGGGGTGGGGGGGCGCATCTTAGGGCCAGGGTGGTGCGAAGCCTCCTTAGGATGAGCAGATCCTTAATAGGCAAAGCAGCAAAAGAATGGGCCCGGGGCTTAGGGGGTGGGGGTGGGGCGGTTAGTGCCAGTGTGGCCAGGGAAAGGAGCTTGGACCGTGAAAGCAGGCACTCCCCTGTTTGATGTCCTGGAAGTAGGTCCTTTGAACCCTCTGTGTGAGCAGGGAAGCTGAGACACTGACTGAGAAGGTGGTGCTTCTGCCAAAGGGGAACTGGAGCTCCTGTCCAATTCCACATCCAGGGGGCAGGCTCGAATCTTTCTTTGGCTCTTGCGTTCACCCTCACTCCTTTCAGCCATGCAGACCCCCCATGAGCCCCAGTGAGCGTCCCTCAGGAAGCCCCCTCTGGCACTAAGGCATCTCCCCTGCAGGTGGTCGGCTTCGACGGCTCTTCCACCGTCGAGGAGTTCCTCCAGCGGCTGAACCAGGAGACAGGCATGAGGAAGTCATCCCGCTCTGGCTTTGCCCTCTTCACAGACGACCCTTCCGGCAGGGACCTGGAGCACTGCCTGCAGGGCAATGTCAAGGTGACGGCCTCCCTGCCAGGCCAGTGGAGGCTCTCCTGAGCCACCACCTGGCCCCGGGGTTTTGCTGGTGGGGAAGAGCCTGTGTGAGGGGCGCCTATTTCCCTTGAGTGGCTGTGCAGTGTCCAGGGGAAGGCTGCTCCTCAGCTGGTGTGGGAAGGACAGGGAGGCACTGGTCAGCTGCAGCCCAGCTGAGCCTGCCGGTTACATACACACAACACACACACGTGTGCATGCTCACACATGCGGGTGGACAGCTGCATGCCTAGACCCACTGGGTGCTGTGTCCTAAGCTGGCACTTCACTCTTACCCTGTCTGCCAGGGCCTGTGCTATGCCCGCGGGCTCAGCCATAATTTACGGAGATAGAGCCAAGTGGTGCTTCTGTCTGAAAGGCCCTTCGGTGGGATTAAGGGCCTGCCTTGTATCTTGGTCTGAAATCAGAGCCGTGGTTCCCGGTGTTCCTGGGAACATGCTGTGGCACTTGAAGGGCCAAATGTTTGGGTCAGTGTCTGCTTTCCTTATGGCAATAGGACAGAGTCCTCTGTAGTCTTCTGCCATTGCCTGGGCACGCGGTACCACCCACCTTCTTTGTAAACGTCCAGGCATCTGCGAGGCTTTGTTCCCCAGGGGGTCTGTGGTGTGTTTGCTGAGCGGGGTGGTGGTCAGTGGAAGGGAATGGGAGCTGGTGACATGAGGCCGTGGTGTCTGACCGGGACCTGCCTTACCCCTGGGGAGGCCCCCTCAGATGCTGAGGCCAAGAGGGGCAGCTCTGCTGTGGGTGCCGCTCACGCCACACCCAGGCTCCACCTCTGTCTGTGAGAAGGTCGCAGGGACCGGGGGTCCTGGGAGTAGGAGTGTGCGGCCCCACAGGTCATCCCCGTGGAGGACAGTCACCCAGCTTGGCCCTGCTGCTCTGCCTGAGTCCAGCCCTGTCTGGACCTTGTTCCTCTCCTCAGGTGCTTTTCTGACTTTCCTCTTTTGCCTCTTCAAGATCTGCGATGCCATCTCCAAGTGGGAGCAGGCCCTGAAGGAGCTGCACTCTGGGAAGTCTGAGGGTGGCACTCGAGTCGTGAAGCTGATGTACAAGAACAGGTCTGGGCGCCGCCCCCGGGGTGGGCTGAGCCTAGGGCTGCCACGGGCGTGCGCCGGCAGGAGGCCCCCAGTAGGACACACATGGTGCTCGTTGGATGGGAGCCAGGCCCGCTGGGCAGCTCAGGCTCTGGGCAGCATGTGCACACACACAAACACACACACCAAGAACACAGACCAGCCTCCTAAGATGGCCACATGCATTATCTTAAGAGAGTGAAATTTTGTATAAGTACTAGATATTTAAAGCTAAAAATAAATTGCTCTTATACCAATTCCAGGGAATACAGAAGTAGACATCCTGACTTTGTATTAATTTGAATAAGAAAATTTCACCCTAGCTGGTGTGGTTCAGTGGACTGAGTGCCAGTCTGCTAACCAAAGGGTCACTGGTTCGATTCCCAGTCCAGGCCCATGCCTGGGTTGTGGGCCAGGTCCCCAGGAAGGGGCACATGAGAGGCAACCACACACTGATGTTTTTCTCCCTCTCTTCCCCTCTCTGAAAATAAAAGAAAGAAAGAAAATTCCATCCATGTTTCCAGGCAAATAATTTTCCATCAGTCTCTTGGATTCTTAATTCATCCTGTTCCCTGATAAACTATAATTCCTAGTACCAGATTCCCTTCACCAAACGCAGTAAATCTGATGGTGTATCCAGAATTAACCACACACTATCATTGCTCTGAGATCTGATAGCCCTATGTCTGCTCCGTGTCATGCCTGCTTCAATTTTTTTTAGAGGCAATAGAAAATAGGCTCACAAATGGTAGAAAAAGAGTCATTTCTATCTTTGCAAATCAAGGTAGACAGATGCCAGGATGACCTCATCCTTTTGGGACCCTGTCGGACTTGCTTCTCACTTTCCCCTGTAGGCTGTACTTCCGGAGTCAAGTCAAAGGGGAGACGGAGCGAGAACGTCTGCTGCTTGCCTTCCAAACCAGTGGAGAGATCGTGGCAGGCAGGTTTCCTGTCAATAAGGAACTGGCTCTGGAGATGGCTGCCCTAATGGCCCAGGTAAGCTTCTGTTCGGGCATCGGGACGGTCAGGGCATCATCTTTGGACTGACGAGTGGCACACACCACACAGCCTGAAACAGCAGGTTCCGCAGATCCGGTGGCGCCGGAGGAGAGGGTGGCCTTGCTGTCCCTGGCTGTGGAGGGACTCCTCACTCAGCAAAGGTCCTCACTGCCAGTACAGGCTGCGTGCAGAACTCTGGACTCGGAACCCAGAGACCTGGGTGTGAGCCCGTCATCCCCCTGCTGTGAGACCTTGACCACGTCTTGTCACTTGTCTGTGCTTTTTTTTTCTGGTTTTGTAGACTGAAAACAAAAATACCTCCATCCTGGCCCTGCAGGGTTGATGTACTAAGTATGATTCTGAAATAATGCATACACCATAATGTATGTGATAAAATTTGTACTTAAAGTTGCTAAACATTTTAACTAGAATTAGAAAAAGGAACACACATTCAGACTTTGACTCTTTTCCCCGTTACCTTTGGGAAACCGTCTTGCCAAAAGTACCTGGGACGCCTGCTTGGTTCCCATGGACCTACATGCTGGGAAGGAAGGGGAAAGAATAATAGCTGATCTTTAATATAATAAAAGCTTATCGAATACTCTACAGAGGGCCCTGTGCTACACATTTTGTATGTTATCCCATTTAATTCTCATCCCCACGGAACCGATGAGAATGTCGAAGCCCAGCGAGTCTTGAGTGAGTTGAGCAGGCTGCGAAGCTGGTCAGCAGCAGAGCTGGGACCCCAGCCAGGCCTCGGGCTCCGAGGACCACACGGGAACAGTCTGCTCTGCAGTCAGTCAGTCCTTGCTTAACATCGTCACCCAGCTCTGCAGCTTCAAGCAAGGCTGTCTCCTCCTCCGTGTCGTAATGAAATGACATCGAACAGACCAGTGTTATTCAGGGAGCCGGGATCTGCAGCATCTTCGATCCTGTATCCCATCGTTTTGGATTGGAAGCCCAGACTTCTACATTGTGTTCCTCTGTCTGCCACGACTTACCTTTTTTGGATAAGGCGCTTCACCTCGACCAGAAAATGAAAGTTGGTCTAGAAAATCTCTAATATTCTAAGACTCTAAAGTTGTTTCTCTAGTGTCTGTGAAACTGGAGATAAAGGGTCCGTTCACAAGAAGTGTTTTTTCACATCCATTCCCACCTCACCAATAGTTATGAAGTGATGATGTATTTCACCTGTTTATTTCTCTCTCAGCAGCCCACCCCAACCCCTCCCCCCACCTCAGCCCCTCCACATCCAGGCTCCTGACTTGTGCCACCCTGTGCTTCTCTCACAGGTAGAGTTCGGGGACTTGGAGAGGTCCCTCCCACCAACTCCTGGGAACACACCCCATTCCAAGGCCCAACATCACCTACAGCAGGTCCTAGACAGGTTCTACCCGAGGCGCTACAGATACGGGGCACCCCCTGAACAGCTGAGGTAGGCTGTGAGGTCTTGCGGGGAGTCACTGTGGGAGATGTGGGTGCGGAGTTGGGGAGGTCCCGGAGCTGCCATGAAACTGTGTTGGCACTTCACTGTCTGTCCCATGAAGGCACCTGGTAGATCAGCTGACCACAAAGTGGGCCTCACTGCAAGGCTGCTCCTCTCCAGAGTGCATCCGCATCTACCTGACAGTGGCCCGGAAGTGGCCCTTCTTTGGTGCTAAGCTCTTTGCTGCTCAGGTAAGTGCAGGTGGTTTCCAGTGGACAGAGGGGTGACAACACTCAGGAATGGCCTGTTTCTCCTGGAACTGCTGGCCCTACCTGATCCTTTGAGTCCAGTCTGCAGTAGCGGCCTGCAAACCAGCAACCACCAGAGGTCGCTGTCTCTCCACCCATTTCTGGTCTACTCCGCATCTCCGTGTTCTAGGGCAGTTGTGTTTTATTCGTTGCTTTGGGGCCAGGACTATTTCTGCGTTACCCTCCTCTTTCCTTCATTGACTTCTTTCTCAGTGCCACCCCTGGGGGAAAAAGAGAGAATCAACTAATTCTAAGGGCATATCACAAGGGGCCCGGTTGGTCTGAAAAGTTGGGGAAAGCTTCCGAAGAGGGTGACACGTGTACCTCCCCAGCCTTTTAGGTAGGTAGGGATAGGAGATCTGGATTGCCTTCCTGCGGCCTTGGCAATGCACATTAGTCATTCCAGGAATTGTCCATTAAATAGTCACTTTTATTACAAGTAGGGCCTAAGGCCTGTAAGATTTCATTCTTGCTTTCCTATTTCTTTTATAGCCCCTAGGAAATTGACTGAAGCAAGATGCACTTCAGCGGAGGGGGGAACCGTGGGTGGAATGCTCTCAGTTTCTGAGAGCTAGGGGAAAACAGCCTGTCCCCCCCGCAGCCAGCGGTGCTGTGATCTGTAGCACGGAGCCCCCCGACCAGGGGGCCGTGGCAGGACAGGCTACAGGTGCTCCAAGAAAGTGGCCTCCTCCCACCTCGGGATTGTTAGCAGGTAGCCAGAGCCCCAGGGCCAGATGCCTCCTGTACAAATGCCATCTTTTTTGCTTTCCGAGATGCAGAAAAGGTTGGAAATCACTGCCTAGCAGACACTGCCACTGCATGTGTTTTCTTCCTCACAAAGCTCTCGTAGTCCAGAATCCCTAGTTGCGGGTGTGTCTCATGGGATTTTCCTGTTTCCCCAGCCTTCCAAGGAGAACACTCTGGTGTGGATTGCTGTGAACGAGGACGGCGTCAGCATCCTGGACCACAACACTATGGTGAGGGCTGGCTCCCTGACCCCCTCCTCCTGAATAGTCTTTTCTCCTCCTCTCTGGACTCAAAGGCCTGAGTCAAGTGGCCATGGTCCTCCTACCCCCAGCTCCTACCCAAGCTCTGCGGTCCTCCGGTCTGGACACAGCTTGCAGACATGCAAGGTGCAGGTCTACAGATGATGACCACGTCAGAGACCCCCCTCCTGGTTCAGGCGACCTGTGCTTAGAAGAGACGGGGACGCTGGTTCCCAGCTTGGGAGGCAGGTGGAAAGTTTCCCTCGTACTGATGGGCTCTTCCCACAGCGAGTGCACGCCACTCACCCCTACTCTTCAGTGATGACCTTCGGTGGCTGCCGCGATGACTTCATGCTTGTGATTAGGTCCATTCCAGACCAGAGCTCTGGGAAGGGCCACATTGAGAAGCTGATCTTCCGGATGGCCGCTCCCAAGGTGAGTCTGAGAGCTACTAAAATATTCCCCTCTAATCTGGTCGGAAGAGATGGGCTTGGGCCCACGGCAGGTGGCTCAGTTGTTTGGAGCACTGTCTCATACGCCGAAAAGCTGTGGGTTCGATTCCTGGTCAGGGCACAGCCTAGGCTGTGCGGGTTTGATCCCTGGTTGGAATGTGCACAGGAGGAAATCTGCGGATATTTCCCTCCTGTATCAGTGTTTCTCTCTCCCCCCCAAAAACAATAAAAATATATCCCCAAGTCAGGTTTAAAAAAAAACCAGGTAGGTTTGGGACTTAGAAAGGAAACTGGGATTATGACAATATTCTAGAAGAGCCTGTCCCAAATTAAACTTTTGGCCTTGACTATAACTGTGACTCTGAAAAGTTCAGGCGGAGTTGCGTCTCCATAGCCACTGTTAAGCTGGTAGGGGAGGGGCTGGCCAGCGAGGGGACTCCTGTGCTCTCCACATCATCTTCCCTGCTTCTCTCAAGCCTCAGCACCGTGCAGGCCTGAGCTGGGCGCGCACTTGCTGTTCTCCTTGCAGCAGCCTGGGGCCGGGGCAGCTGCCTGCTCAAGATGTCCTCACTTAAAGCCTCATTCTGTACGACAACAGGCACTGTTTTTGTGTGTGGTGCCCAGAAATTGTTAATAGGGCTACCCTGAGACACCGGTTTTACTTCCATCACAGTAATTGCACTGTAATAGTAACAATGAGACCTGTAACTTTTTTTGAAAGAAACGGAAAAAATGAAAGAAAAGAAGTTCTCACTATCCGGTCTCAAACTAGTCACAAAGTGGACAGTCTGCGCATGTGCCCCTTTCGTCCAGGTGTGAATTCCATGCACACCTCTTTTGCCTTGAGGGCTTCATCCCCACCTAGTACAGGAAATGGTGGCTAGCAAAAATAAGAATTGCAGAGACTCAGAAATCTTCTGTCCTGATTTATAGTTCCTGACTCCCTTCTGAGAGTACCTGGAACCCCTCTGGTTGTGATCCTAAAATTGGAGTTGGCCAAATCTCCTCCTCCTTTCAATACCATCCTTGCCAAAGGAGAGGCTGTGCAGACCCTGTCTTCCAGGGAGGCCCCGGCCCTAGTGCAGAGCTCACGAAGCAGAGTCGCCCCTCCTGTCCTCAGCAGGGTGCTGTGCATCTCAGAGGAACTCCAGAACTACGGGCACCTGATTCCTTGGGCCCTGGAACCTCACCATCATGATCCCCTTTGGACATTTTTCCCCGGGTGGAGGCAAATGTCCTTCCTTAAATAGGAAGGTTACCCTATTTAACTTCTGGTGAGAAAGCCAGCATCCAAGCCAAGGCTAGTTCAAATCTTTTGTTTTTCTGTTGTCTCCTTAGATTGCAGAAGCTACTTTCATCACAGCCAGCTACATGAACCACTGTCCCATAACTGTGAACCCACCCAACTACCCACCTGCTACCCACCAGCCATGGCAACTGGGTGGACAGCAGTTCTCTGCCTCTATTCCACGTGCTGCCAAGAGGCCAACGTTGCTGTGAATGTGTCTCCGACCCCTTTCCCCACCACCACCTGGTACCTCCTGGGGTTGGAGACGTGTGTCCCGGGGCATGATACTACTGTGACGGGGCTAACGGCCCTCCCCTCGCCCCGCCCTGGTTTGTTCCGTGAAATGTGTATTTCAGTGTCCGGAAAGCCTTTACTCTCCAGGTGCCTTATAATGTTTCCGGGCCCCACTTTTAAAAATCCAGACCCAGTATAAAACCACTTCTCCCCCACAAGAATCCTGAGCTCTAGACGGTGCCTACTTCTAGACACAGACAGGGGTGTTACTGGTGGCTGAGGGCATCGGTGCTGTCGGTGCAGCTTTCCCCGCTAACACCCCTGGGAGGCTGGTATTCTTTACACTGTACACGGTCCTTAGGTGGAGATTTATACTTGAAGTTTCCCCAACACCCCTGAATAGGACTCGAATTCCCAATTCGCCTGAACTCTGACCAAAGCCTAGAACTCACTAAAACTGGACTTCCTTTCCCATTTGGAGGAAAGGAAGAGTCCTCTTCCCCCTCCCCCCACTGCAAACGAGTCGGCATTCCTGCGGTGCTCCTTCCGGGCCGCTGCTCCCGGCTGTGCAGGAGGAGGAGCTGGCTCTCCCGCTGGGACTGAAGCGGCTCTCCCTCATGCTGGACTCCCTCACACTGGACTGTGAGCCCACCTGGGCACCAGCACGGGCACAGGCAGCGGGCAGGCCTCACCTGACCTCTCCGTGTCTCATTTTAACTACTGGACAGGGCTCAGTGAAGGCTGGGCTCGCTTCACTACTATAGGACAAGGTGGTCACCACTTGTTTCCCTGCTCTTCGGAAGACCAAGCAAATGCACTCTGCTGGGTGCTGCTCCGTGAGCCCCCAAAGACGAGTCAGAGACAGAAGACCCTTCCAGGCTCACGGGCCTGGATTCGCTCCTCACGACTTCTGGCGAACTTCCGCCGGGAATTGGTTTGAGGGCAGAGGACACCTGACATCTGTCCTAGCCTAAGAGCATCAGGTGAACGAAATCGAAGGTTTCCTTCACCTTTTGCCTTCTTAACGATACCAGTATCCCAACACCTCCAACTGAGATCTTCTGTTGCGTACAGAGATGATCTTTGTCTCCACCCTCCCCTAACAGGAAAAAGGACAAAAGAGTCCATTGGTACTCTTGACTTCCCAACACTGGAGAAACTGAGTTTTATTTGAGCCTGCCAGCTGGCAGGCAGTCTTAATGATTGTCAATAAAGTGCTGGAAACTCTATGGTTTTAGCAGTAGTGTCCAAGAACCAAGCTTTTAATCCCGTGTGTGTGTGTGTGTGTGTGTGTGTGTGTTGTACGACGTAAAACTGCATGGCTGGAACTAGTCTATGTGAGCACCTCAGCTGCAGTACACTTCCCCTCATCCTTTACACCAACAAGCATAATAAAAAAGCAGCACGTCAGAGTGTCTGCCTTTTACATGGACTTGACTTTGTAAGGCTAGCAGTTTTATAGCTGTCTCCCACTTCTGTGCCAGCCTTTCCCCCAGCATTTGGGATCTAGTGGGAACACTTCTACCTCAAACAGGCCCAGGGGTCTCACGTACCACAAGCTTCTGAAGGACCCCTCCAGCACTGTGCAAAAGGCAGAAATGATGACTCTGGCTTTGTAGTACCCCAAATGTCTCTAAGGCCCATGAGGATATTATCTGCCTGAGAGTTTTTAAAACATTGGGATCCTGAAGAAAAAGTAACCAAGAATGGAGCTGTGTTCATACTGAATTTGGAGGTCAAGCTACTTCCCCACCTTTATCTCCTTCCCAGCCCTCAGGAACTCTCCCTTAATTTATGAATTCTCCCTTAGAAGGAACTGCCTTATAAACAAAGGCTTCTGTAGTTTGCATGTTTATCCTTCTTCAACACGCCTGGAAACCAAAGTCAAATTTCTGTCTGGCCTTTTTGTCTCATCTCTCTTGGCAAAAGCAGCTTTTGGAACCATACACAATGCTGAGTAATGAAGAGCTTCAGTGTGCTTGACGCCATGACGAATGCCACGTCCATGTTTGCCAATAAAACACAGCCGTCTGTGAACAGGCGATTGTGTTTGAGGAGATCTGTTTATTAAGAGGGTCGCCATAAATCGGCCCTGTACAGACTCAGGAGCTAGGTGGACAGAGACTTGGCTTTGGAGGACATTTCTTCCTGCTCACCCAGTACCCGAAGGACTTGACTTTACTAGACAGTTGGAAATTGTCTTCCTCAGTAGATCTGATACCAGTTTCCCATTGTCTTGCTCCACAAATTTCAACAAAAAGTAAACTTGAATGTGCTTAGGAATTTCACAAAGTGCTTTTAGTCAGCATTATCTTTGACATACCATTTTCTAAGGTCTCCCCTCAGTTGGGGAAGTAGGCAATACCTTACAAGGGGAGCACTGAATACACAGAAATGCTCTGCTCAACACCATACAGTGAGCTGGGTTTCCAGTCAACCACTCTGAGATCCGCCGCGTGCGTCCTGCTTCCTAGGAGTGTGTCCATGTGATGCTTAGAATACAGAAAACGCACCACTCCCTAGGGCTGAGCAGTCATTTCCCATGGAAGACAGTCGTGGCCTTCTGAATGCTGGGACTCATGGGCTTGTGGGTGCAGCTTTCTGGTGTGCCAGGATCTCCTGGCAGCTCCTGTACACGTCAATCAAGCAGTCCAGCCGGGGCTTGGCACTCTGAATTCCAAAGGGGAGAAATGCACAGTCAAGATGGACGTAAGAGAGCGCTTAGCAATGCTGCACCCATGTGCCACCTCAATCTCACCCCCACCAGGGGGTCAGTGTGGCATGGGGGGAGCTCAGAAAGGCAGAAGTCCAGGCCCACAGCGGCCTGCTGGCAGAGTCCCTAACTAGGCCTATGGCCCAGCCTGAGAACTGTGAAGCAGGATCTCAAAAGACTGTTTTTAATCTGTACAAATTCCATGATCTCCATCTAAGAGCAAGCATAGACCCTCCAGGGAAGTGTCACAGCAGTGAGCCAGTCCTCAGAGACAAGAAGGGCAGTTTGAGATTGAAAAATATTTTGCATAATGAAATGTAATACCGCCAAAATTAAAAGTCACAGAATGGGAAAAAGGTATGTAGAAATCATATTTAATAAAAGTTTGCTACCAAAACATAAATTATTACAAATGCGTAATCAATATCTAGGTTCTACTTGATTAATAGAGGAGAAATGGATAGTTTCAAACGAGAGGAGATACTAATAGGTAAATACAAGGAAATATGAAAGGTCTGTGTCATTTAAAGATACAAATTTAAAAACTTTAAATTCCTTTACTTGCACAATAAACTAAAAAATAAGCCCACTGTTAGCCAGGACTGTCGGAAAACAAGCACAGATTCCCCAGAGGACAGTAGAGTTGTCCCATGTCTGGAGCCAAACCTCAAACACTGTAAAAATCTATGAAACTATTCATGTGCTTTAACAAAATAATTTTGGATTACCATGCAAAAGAATTTTAGCTGCTTTAAATCCTCTGTGAAACAGAGCAGTGAGACAGAGGTAACTGCATACATAAATTATACACCTATAAGGTAATTTATTGTATGTGTTTTTAATACAAGCAAGGCAAAAAATAACCTGGATGTGATTTCAAAAGCCAGCAATAAAGTGGCTGAATAAACTGATACTCAACATGATGACATACTTATGTATAATAACAAGTAAAACGGCCTTTGTCGATGCATGAAAATGTACATGTTAGACTTTAAAAGGAAGACACAAAACAGTGAACAGTATGTGTAGATCAGTTACATCTGTGTAAAACCATATTGTAGAACTGACAAAGCATCGGAAAGGAATAGTAACTTGTAGGCAGAAGTTGCTACCTATATATTTTTTTCTCTAAAATTATTTGTATTCATGGTATTTCTGGAAGTGTATTTGCCTCAGGAGCTTCTGAAATCCTGACTCTGACTATAAATAGCTGTCAGGTATCTTTAAATACTTATGACAAGAAGAGTTTACGCTGCTATATTAGTAGCAGTGGATGTGCAGAGAGTGGGGGGAAAGGAAGAGGATTTCTGCGGAGAAGAAAGTTAAGCAGAGTGCTCACCTGGAAGACAGGTACTACTTGTGATATCCCATGTGGGTCCACTGGATCGTTCAATAAAATGCAGAGGTAGTAAATCACCTTCTGCTGTAAGAAAATAAACCAAATAGTGATCTAAGTAAAATTCATTTTGCCCTGGCTGGTGTGGCTCAGTGGATTGAGTGCCGGCCAGCCTGTGAACAAAAGGGTCTCCAGTTCGATTCCCAGTCAGGGCACATGCCTGGGTTGCAGGCCAGGTCCCTGGTACAGGGAGCATGAGGGGCAACCACACATTGATGTTTCTCTCCCTCCCCCGTCCTCTAAAAAATAAATAAAATCTTAAAAACAAACAAACAAACAAACAAACTCATTTTGTTTTCTTTTTCATCAAGGGATGCCTAAAACTTTTTCATAAATGGTTATCTCTAAGTAGTAAAACACTTGATAGATTTTGAAGTGAGGGAGAAGTACATTCTTGTGCTTTAAGTGAAAAAAGATGAAACAGCAGCAATGATAACAACCAGAGATCATTCTGAAGCTGAGCCAGAAAATAAATGCTGACTTCCTGTCCATGAAAACCTGCTGTGTCTCTTTAAAAATAAAGGGACGTATATTTTTCCAACATAAGTTTCACTTTTATGGTTTTTAGACATGCCAGCCCAGAAAGAAACACGTCACGTACTGGAACAGAGAGTCCTCAAATTTAATTTTTTGACATCTCATACTGTATGTATTAAAACAATTCAGATCCAGGCACACCCCAGGGGCTAGCTCCTTCAAAGAGGCCTGCAAGACCACTTAGAAACTTACCATGTAAATCGCCTCATTAATGATAACATCCTTCACCTTGCCCATCTCAATGAAGGTGGTGCTTTCTTTGCCAGAGGCATAGGATGAAGTCAGCTGGATGCCAAGGGAATCAATGATTAACAGAGTCTCCTGATCAATCTTCACAAAATGCAGGTATCCAAGCAGGCCTAAGAGGGTGATGAAGATGGCAGCAGAGAGGATCATGCTGTTCTGAAGAGAGAGCCAGACAGAGGCAGTAAAATTACCAAGTGGTCTTCTTCATATCCTGCTGTCGAAAAAGTCAACTCCAGGCAATGCAGAAAAAAGCCTCCGTTCTGCTGTGAGCTGGACAGATGAGAACACACATGGAGGGCGAGATCACCCTTGTGTTCTGTACAACTATGAAAGCATATGATGATTTAAAACATCCAGACAACAAATGGGTAGGTCTGTGGCAGAGAACCTCCATCAACAAGATACCCACCATCACACCACTCAGAGTTTTCTTCCAAAACCGCAACTTAAGTACTCAGGCCGTTTCCTCTCACACTCCCTCAGAAGCACGATGTAAAATCACAGACTGGACAAGAATAAAATGCTTAGCACAGTGTAATAGATGCAATTCAATAACCACTCATCTTCCTAATAGAACTTGGAGTGAATCATGATTGGTTCCCACTCCTGCCATTGACTGGTTTAGAAATTGACACATGACACAACTCTAGCCAATGAGATGTGAGAAGAGATTTATCTGTTGGAGAGGCTTCTGGAAAACTAAGTCCATCTTAAAAAGAGATCTAGGGAAGATAAGGTCCCTTTATCCTAAGGTTTTGATGTCTCAACTATTTACTATAGACTCTGTCAGACCAGGTGGAAAATTAGGCTGAGAAGGAGTACACCAAGATAGGGGGAAAAAAAAAAAAAATCTACTGAGCCTCTTATGCCCCCTAGAGGACTCCTGCCTCCTGACTTCTTGTTTTGTTAAATAGGACTCTAAATAGTATTTATTCCTTTGATTCTAAGACCTATTTACTACCTTTATCATTTCTGATTGAAAAGTGTTTTTCTATTGATGTGTTTCTTTCATGTGGTATTGTTTTCTCTTTTTTTCCATAAAGCTATTATATAGAAGGATGGCACAAGAAAAGAATCATTGACCTAGAATCAAAAGAAATTCAGGAATTTATGGCTCATTCCTTCAGGGCAGGAAGTGTCCTATTATTGTTAATGACAAGATGCCCTCCTTGACCTAACTCTAGTCAAGCTCTTCTAAGCCGCTGACCTTTGTGTAGCAAGAATCTCGCTAAATCAGTTTAAGAGAACCCCCACCCTTACTTAGTGTCTGTAGTGCCTCACTTAGTGATCACCTGGCCTGTCTTTAGTAAGAATCCTGTGAAATCAGTTTAGCTAGAATGTCCCTTTACCCCTGAGGTTTCCTTTTAGTAATTTCCCACCCACTGACCATCACCCTGCTCCTTGGCTATAAATTCTCACTTGTCTATGCTGTGTTCAGAATTGAGCCCCATTCTACACTAAGGTCTCTCCTACTACTGCAAGTTTCTGAATAAAATCTTTTTTTTTTTACCACTTTAACTACTGACAGGCTCTGATTTTCTTTGAAAATACCTTTCTATTTCTTCTACCTACCGTGTACTAAATGTTAGATCAGGGGTCTGCAGACTGTTTGGGCCTGTGATTTATTTTTGTCTGGTCCGCCTTGAGCTAAGAATAGTTTTTACATTTAAAAAAATTTTTTTTAATTTTATTTATTTATCTTTAGAGGGGAAAGGAAAAAAAGAGGGAGAGAAATATCAATGTATGGTTGCCTCTCATGCATTCCCTGCTGGGAACTGGCCTGCAAACCCAGGCTTGTGCCCTGACTGGGAATTGAACCGCGATCCTTTGGTTTGCAGGCCCACACTCAATCCACTGAGCTATACCAGCCAGGGCAGTTTTTACATTTTAGAAAGGGTTGTTAAAAAAAAAAAAAGAAAAAGAACAAATATGAGACAGAGACCTGTTAAGCCTAAAATATTTACAATTTGGCCTTTTAAAGAAAAAGTTTGCTGTCCTCTGTGCTAGATCACTATTTTTTGATTAATGAATGGAGAATGGAGAAATCTATATACTGAGTGTCTGATGTTCCAGACATATCTACTTTGAGTTAATTAAATGCCTAGTATCTAATACAGTGTCTTGTATGTAGTTTGCACTGAGTAAGCATTATGGAAGAACAGAGAGAAATAAAATTCAGTCCTGACCCTTAAAGATTTATTAGAGACAAGATCAATTCATATATAAAATATTTTTGGAGAATACTATGATACTAACTATAAAGGCCTAAGAAAGCATTAAGGGGGTTGGGGCAGCAACAAATTAAAGCACACAGGAATGTCCTGTGAAGACTTCCAAGAAAGCAAGATTAAATTGGTGCAGAGGTGGTGGTTATCGATACATATACTTAGTTGAGAAAAAGAAGAGGAAAGGACAACATTCTAGGTTGGAATAAATAAGGTAAAAACCTGGCGTTTTAATAGAACTGTGAATTCAAAAACTGGAAGAAGGGCTGAAGAGCAATAAATGCTTAGGAAATTTGATCCATATCAGCTTTTTTGGAAGGTAATCCCTGCCAAAACTTTATCCTACCTACATGTTTATTGCTTCATTTTTCTAACAATTCAATATTTATTTAGGTTGAAGTCAGCCATGTTTCAATGAATACCTTCATCAGATTTCTTCTCATTCTTAGCTGAGATTCATGACTCTGATGATAGTTGTGAATAGGAGGAAAAATAAGAAATTTTGGTACACAGAGCCCTTAAGAAGTGCTGCCGTGGAGTTTAAAGGAAGAGGAGGTTGCTGAGTCCCAGGCACTTGAGGCGGCTAGGTGGTACCATGGTGAGAGAGATGAGTACAAACGGGAGCTGGCATAAGAAACACACTTCTCTGTTTAAAAATTTTGTCTAAGCAAGCCCTCCCCAGGGAGGAGACATCATAGTTGAGTGAAGAAAGGGTTTCAGCACCAGATCAGACAGCCTTGGATTTGAAGCCGAAGTATGCCATTTACTAGCTTTGCGACCTGGATGTTATCAGTCTTTCTGAGCCTTGGCTTTCTTCTAAGGCTACAATGAGGCATTCAGTAAAGCAGCTGGCACTCGGTGGGCATTTAATGAGTACTGTCTCCTCCTCCTCCTCACATGACCCCATGGCCAGAACCCAGGCTAGTATTAAAATTCAAATATATCAAAAATTAAATCTTTTGGGGAGGGTTGGGAGAGACAGGCAGTCCTGGCAACGTAACATGTCAAATGACTTATGAACAAACTTTCAGATACAGTTTGGAACAAATTAGGGCAGTCTTAATTATGCATATAGCTATGCTGAACTGCCATACTTTGAAATACGCTGTGATGGCAAAAAAGCTAATTGATGCAGTAAAGGGTGCAGTAATGGAAGCGATATCCCAATTACAGAAATAAACAGCCCTGTTGTACTTAGGTCTGATCAGATCTCTCCAGGAATAACATATTCAGTTCAGGGCACTACATATGAAACTGAAAAGGGCAATTAGGATGATCTCTGTTCTTCGAAGGCTATCACAAAACTACAGTATGTGGCCCTCACAATACTTGGAGCTGGCATGGCAGATATCAATTCCATTTTAGAGATGTGAAAAACCGAGGCTCAGAGAATAGGAATGAGTCTGGAAATCGAGCACAGAAACCACCCATTCCAAAATTTCATAGTTTCTTGAAAGCACTTGAAGTTGGGGAAGCGATTGGGAGGAGGGGAATTAGTCTGCCTTGAAAAACAGAGATTGGGAAGAACTATCAATATCAAGCTCTTAAATAGGTATCTTGTGTGTGTATGTACACACACTACACAAACACACACAGTGGAGACAATGACAATTCCTGGAAAATTATATATAAGGCACTGTTAGCAGTGATTCGTCTGAGGAGTAAAAGTGAAGATGATCCACCTAATTCTCAGAACCCTTGGAACTGAGTTACTATGCGCATGTACTACATAAAGCACATGCAAGTTAAAGTTTTAGGCTGTCGTGCAAGGACTGGATGCATGTTGGGCGGAACCACACAGTGACCCATGTGAGGGCTAAAGTACAGGAGCCCAAACTTCACTAAACATAATTTAAAATGCTGTCCAGCAGCGGAACGGCGTCTCCAGAGACAGTGAGTTCCTGCCTTCCAGCCTTAGGACTGCAGGAGGGTCCCGCGAGAGATCTGGGCTCTATCCCAAAGACCCTTCCAAAATCGAATTCCGGACACCGACCGTGGAAGTGGGCGAGGAGCTATTACCTCGCAAAGGGTGAAGAGTCCGTAGGCCGCAAGCCACACGGTGCAGGTGACAGCGGTGAGCGAGCGCAAGGACAGCCGAGGGCAGCTGAGACAGAACTCCCGACAGGATGGGGAGTAGTAGCGGCGCTGCAGGGCCAGACGGCCGCCGTAAATATCCGAGAAGCTCAGCTCGTCCTCCATGGCCGGAGGGAACCCACCGGTCAACCTCGCCGCTCTTGCCGACCTCCCGGCTGTCAGCCCGGGTCCTCTCGCCCGCTCTGAGCCCACTTCCGGAGAGTCGGGTTGGCCCCGCCCCGCCCCCACGCTCCGCGCAGCCTCAGTTCCGAGCTGACGGCCTCAGCGCGGTCTTGCGATTTAAATTTTATTCGCTGTCTCGGCTCGGGTTCTAGGATTGTTTACTCCAAAGCTTCAGCTAGGGAGCCAGCAACCCAGCGAACAGCTTAAAATCTCTTTAACGTGCTTTTTCTTGGTAAATTGATTTTTATTTCTAAGCCAGAGTACACCCCAATGAGACGGGCCACAGGTATTCATTCATTCATTCTCATTCTTCCATTCGGGTAGATTTAGGTGCTGAGGATACAGCAGTGAACAATATTGAAAAGGTCCCTGCCTTCAAGTACCTTCCTTCCTGGTAAGAGAGACAATATGGAAATATTCAGAGGGTGCTGTTGGCAATACTATGGCCGGCGGGGATAGCTTGGGAACTTACGACAAACAGTGCAGTCAGGAAAGGCTCTCTGAGGAAGGCAATTGGAGCTACAAGGATGAGGAGCCAGACAGCTCTTCAAAAGCACTGGAGGAGGAAACTGTCCGGAAGGAAGATCAGGAAAAGCAAAGCCTCTGAGGCTGGAGCACGGTTTTCTTATCGGAGGAATCAAAGATCCGAGAAGCTGACCCATGGGAAATGCTGGAAGTTGGGGAGGTAGGCAGCCAAGGGTCAGATCCAGGACGGCTTGTAGGGCCTGGAACGGAGTGTGGATTTCACTTTCTGGGAGATCTCTCTCCCAAACCACTGAGTGGAGCATTGGGTAGGCAGACAAGTCCTGGCTGGGAGGTAGGCAGGAGTGGAGGGCACAGAAGGTAATGGATAATAAAACTAATAAACTCATGAGTAATTGCGGCCTGTGGGTTCCCTCTTTCTCCTTAGGATGCGGTCCAAGAATGGCAGTGTGGCCTGTTAAAGAGCTATGGTGCTTCAGGCCTGAGTCAGCATCATGCATTAAAGAATTGATTCCTTTCTGTATAAAGATAAATCGCATAACGGTCTCACCAGCTCTAAGTCTCTGATGAAAGTGAGGTTAAGGTTCTCCATCTTCATCAGAACTTTTCTTTTTTTTTTTTCTAAAAGATTGTCTTTAAGTGTTGCTTTGTTTTGCCAATATGTGTATGCTGAATCTTACCAAGCAAGACACCCCTCTCATTTTGGAAAATATCATGGGATTATTTTATGATTATAGAAGTTATATTTGGTTATTGTGGAAATTTTGAAAAATACAGAAAAGGAGAAAAATGTAAACCACCCATTATTTTCACCATTCAGAAATAACCACTATGTTTTAGAGGAACCTCTAGTCCTGGAGTCCTTAACCTGGGCTTTGTGGGTGGAGAGTGGAGTTTCATTAACTTGTAATTAAAGTTCAACATTTCTTTTGGTTATGAACATAGGCAACAAACCAATTAGTATTAACAATACTTGTGATTTTTGGCAGTGATAGAAACCCTGGATACTTTCATTTTACAATAATTGTTACTTATCTCAAAATGCCATTTCCACTTTTCTCTACTTCAAAATTGCAGTAATTAGACCCACAACTAGATCTCGTTATCTAATTTGTCAATAGAGACACATTACTATAACATTTAAAAAATATTTTTAAAACTTTATTTTAATTTAGTTTTTTAAAATCCTGTGAGTTTTATTCCTTTTTAAACATGATTATAATGAGGGGTCCATTAGATTCACCAGAATTACAGAGTGTCCATTAGATTCACCAGAATTACAGAATAGCACATAAAAAGGCTAAGAACCTGTGCAAACTCAGACGTTTCACAACATAGAGTCACTGGGGGGAAAAAGACAACAAAATTACTTAATTTTTTGAATATTAAATTATTAGGGATAAACAGTCTGGTAATATAATTCCAAAATCTTTATAGCCACTTCGCTCTGTCAGGTCACAGCAGCATCGTAACTGTTATACAGTTAGGCACCCCAGTAGAAATAGAAACCTTTGTATTTGCCATTTACCTAGAAGCCACCTGAAATGTGAAGTGACAAGTTGTCTTGATCATAAATAACCCTGTGAAAATAGCAAGGGGTGATTCTTTAAGCTCTCAGTGTTGGACTTCAAAGTATTAACAAGCCTCAAAAGTTCAGTGGATTTTATCAGCTAATGAAAAGAACTTAGATTTAGTAGTCATCAAGTTCCCCTGGAGGAACTTAATTTCCTTCTCTTTCTCTCTCTTTTCCCTTCTTTCTAAAAAGTGATAAATAAAAAATTTTTTAAAGTTAAAAAAACCCTTTTAGTATATGCTTACTCTCATGGATTGAAAGGTTCTAAGAATACTGTCTTACATTGTTGTTTTTATTATATTTACTTTTTCATAATATAGAATATCTTTCTGGAGGGTCACTGAGGAGTCTCACAACTAATTCCCTGGTAAATTCTTTTGTGGAGAAGCAGAGAAAGGAAGCATGAGAAACATGTATACTTGATATTTGTCAAGATAGGCTAACTGCTATTAAAAAAATTTTTAGTGGTTTAACACAATAAATGGGTCTGTATTATATGTCTACAATGCCATTTGGGTGCTTCTGGTCAGATGGCTGGTGATGTTTGCCCAGTGGTGATTCAGAAACCCAGGCTCCTTCATCTAGTGGCTTTGCCATCCATGGGGCCTCCTTATGGTCCTCTCCATTGGATCCTCTGCATCTGGCCAACAGATGAGGGGCACGAATGGAGGATTATGTGGAAGGATTTTATGGCCAACCTTTCCACCTACATTCCATTGGCCAGAACTCATTAACATGCTTCTACCTAACTTCAAAGGAGGCTGGGAAACAGGGCCTATCAGTAAGCCACATGCAGAAAGAGAAAAGATTTGGTGTACAGCTAGTCAGTCTTTGCAATACTTTCCAAAGAGTTCTGGCTACAAGAACCACAAATACATTTGAGTGAATTGAGCATCGTAGTGGCAGTATAGAGGATTAATCTGACTGACTTTTGATGAGTAATTATTTCTACTGGTGAAGTTATTCTTGGAACCTGAGTGTCTATAAATATGCATAATAATAAAACAATCTAGGCCTGACCGGTGTGGCTCAGTCGTTTGGGCGTTGTCCTGCAAAGTGAAAGGTCTCCAGGTCTAGTCCCAGTTAGGGCACATGCCTGGGTTACGGGTTCCATCCTGGACTGGACTGGACGGGGCAGGGACAAGAGGGAACCAGTTGATGTTTCTCTCTCACATCGGTGTCTTTCTCACATTGATGTTTCCCTCTCTCTCTCTTTTCCCTTCTTTCTAAAAAATGATAAATAAAAAATTTTTTAAAGTTAAAAAAAACCCTTTTAGTATATGCTTACTCTCATGGAGTGAAAGGTTCTAAGAATACTGTCTTACACTGTAGTTTTTATTATACTTTTTCATAATATAGAATTAATGATTGCTGCTACTATGTTAACTGAGAGTAGGTCCCCTATTTATGACCACTTATCAATTGGGGAGAAAAAGTAAAGACCCAAACGAATCCCAAGTAGGCTTTTAAAAAGAGAAGTATTGCTAAGTATATCTCAATTTTTTAAGAAGTTTTTATTTATTTACTTTTAGAGAGAGGAGAAGGGAGGAAGGGAGAGAGAGAGGGAGAGAAACATCCTTGTGTGAGATACATCAATCAGTTGCCTCTCATATACCCCCTACCTGGGACCCGGTCCACAACCCAGGCATGTGCCTTGACCAGGAATCAAACCAGTGACCTTTCAGTTCATAAGTCAGCACCCGGTCCACTGAGCCATACCAGCCAGGGCTGTTGTAGATCACTCTGCCTAGCTTTAGAAATTGTATCTCTACCCCTTGTAGCTAAAGGGCAAGAGATGACCTCTGGAATGCCAGCCACAGGAGACAAAGCCTGTCTCCGGTAGCAAACGGTGCCTCAGTTTCTCTCCCTGCCCCCAGAGCTTGGTCGGAAGTCAATGACGGGTAGGACCCCCCACCATGGGGAGGCAACCTAAGCCAGACTGGATCACCTGGAAGGCCTTCATGGAAGGACTCTGGGGGCTGCAACAAAGAGCAATAGACTCTTGCCCCCCGGCTTTGACAAAGCCTGAGTCCCCATGTTCTCTGGGAGAAGTGCTTCCTGGCTGTAATCCCCTTAAGCCTGAATACCTGTTGGGGAGAGGTGCAGCTCCTTGTCTGGTCAGGGCGTGCCCTGGCCAGGGGAAAAATCTGGCACCACAAAGACTTGCTGATAAACCTGTGAAATCTGCTCTGCTAAGAGTGCTTTCATTCATATGATAAAGGTCCAAGAGGAAATGAGTATGTCTCCCAAAGTTTCTGCAACTCTCTTCCTGACAGACACTCACTCAGACTGAAACCCTCAGACTTCTTTGAAATGTTATCTACTATTTGATCCTTGCCGCCCTGTATTCCTGTGTATTACAACCCAATAAAAGGCCTGGAGGAGGGGGCTCGAGGCCTTTTTCTCCTCGCAGAAACTGGCCGGTGCTGGCCTTTGTCTCCCCTGAGAAACTGGCCACAGCCCACTCCTCCTCCCCAAACAGATCTCATCATCTCTCGGCCATATTTACTCATTCACGTGTGTCCGTGGCACCAGGGGGAACCTCGCGAAAGAAGTCGCTCCCACACAGGGCTATATCTCAATTTAAAAAAAAAAGCAAATGAGCCCTAGCTGGTGTAGCTCAGTGGATTGAGCACGGGCCTGTGAAGCAAAGGGTCACTGGTTCGATTCCCAGTCAGGGCACATGCCTGAGTTGCAGGCCAGGTCCCCATAGGGGACACGTGAGAGGCAACCACACATTGCTGTTTCTCTCCCACTCATTCTCCTTCCCTCCCCCTCTCTCTAAAATAAATATATTTTTTAAAAAGCAAATGAAAAGTAATGTAAAATCTGTTGCAATTTAGTGAAATTGATCAATAAAGTAATTTGCATAAATAAATACATAAAATATCTCAGGCATATAGAAGTAATTCAATTTTTTTTAAGATTTTATTTTTTTATTTAGAGAGAGAAGGGAGGGAGAAAGAGAGGGAGAGAAACATCAATGTGTGGTTGCCTCTCACATGGCCCACACTGGGAACCTGGCCAGCAACCCAGGCATGTGCCCTGACTGGGAATTGAACTGACGACCCTTTGGTTCACAGCTCAAGCTCAATCCACTGAGCTACGCTGGCCAGGGCAGTAATTCAAATTTTGAAGGAGAATAGTAACATCACAATCTACTGTTCACTCCTCTCTTGCATAATAATGTGAAACTAGTCATTGACCTCCGACTAAACCATGAGTAGTGGAAAAACACAGAAAGTGACATGCAGGATGAATTTAGATGGTCAATCTGGTGACTCCCAGTAAGCACTGAAAAAAACAAGAAATTTTTACAATAGTCCAGGAGGTGCTGAGGTAGTCTGTGCCAGTACCAACTTCAGAAAACATAGGAAAGGGGGAAGAATTGGATGTGGTAATGTTACCGAACAAGAAGTCCAAGGGCGGGGGGCAATATTTGGCCCACCTAGGGATGCCAAAAACTGCTAAAGAACAGGGGCCCCTCCCAAGGACAGAATACTAATATCTACTGGGCTCTTCTGTCTGCCGCCAATTGGAAAGACATCTCTCAATGCCAGAGACTTGTGAAAAGGAAACAAAATGTTTATTTAATGCTGTTCAGGCCTAATGCCTCCACTAAAATATCAAAGTCCTTTAGGGTATACACCTATACCCACACAGCTCCCGCTTCTCCCACTGTCCCAACTCCGGGTACCGTAAATCAGGAAAAGAGCACATGTCTATTTCTCAGGCCGCTGGCACCGTCAGCTGTGTCACTGTGCAGGCTCTCGAGTTAATCCAAAAATCATGTGGCACTCTCTCACGGTCCACTGGCAAGAGTTCTTTGTACCCAGTTCCAGTCAAAGTCTCTCTTGCTTTCCAGGCCATGAGGCCAAAGGGGGCACCCTAAAGCTGCGTGGGCCTCTTCTACCAAAGCTGCAGGGGTTTGAACTCCACCAAAAGCATGTGGCTTTCTTCTTCACCTGGCTGCAGGGATCTCCATTCTGGCAAAGCTGCGTGGTACTCTTTCACTCTGCTGAAACCGCGTGGCTCTCTCCTACATGACTGCAGGGGTCCTCACTCTGCCCCAAACCGTGTGGCTCTCCCTTCAATGGCTGCCACCTCTCCTGTCCTGGAGCCCATCTTTTCCAAGCTCTCACACAGGCGCCCTCACTCAGGGGCACAGCCCCTAGTTATATCCTGGGTAGCAGCCACTCCCTTCTGGCTCAAAATTTGGCCACAACTATTTAACATATCTATGAAAACAGTTAAAGGTTATAGATATGTTAAATAATCATTCTAGAGGTTAGCTGCAAAACTGTTGCTATGCAAAACAGCTCTCAATGGCCCTGCTCTATTGGTCCCTTCCCCGGGTGGTGGTGAGGACATCTTATATGTCTCTCCAATATTCCTATACACTTTGAATTCTAAACACCATTCCAAATCTTTTTTGCCCCCCCACCCCACCCCCCGCCTTGGCTGCACCCTGTATCAGTAATGGGCAAGAAGAAGGTACCAAAATAATCCCAAGGATCTGCACAAGTGTGACAGTAACAGTGACTGTGAATCCCTGACGGCACCCATCCTCTTTCCTACAGTTCCCCACTCTGGAGAGCTTGTTAAATGTAGGTGGCTGGTGCCCCACCCCTGGAATAACTAAGTTTGGGGATAGAACCTGTTGGGAACCACCCTGCCTGGTTTCAGGATCTGTAAACCACCCCCCCACCATGGCTAAGGCTGAGTGAGCGACCTTCGGACCATAAGCCACTAAGGAGACAAAGCTTATCTCCCTGGCAGGAAAGCCGCTTCTGCTCCTTTTTCCATAACTGGCCTCCAAAGCTTGATCACTTAGCCAATGATGCGTAAGATTCCCCAAGGGGGGGAACGACCTAAAACAGGCATGATCATGTGGAGGCCCCAGGGAAGGACTTGGGGGGCTATGGAGAAAGGGGGTGATGGACCCTCGCCCCTCGGCTTTGACAAAGTCTGACTTCCCTGAGTCCGTGAGAAGTCTCCGAAAATTCCTTGGCTATCTGCCTCCTCTGCCTGACTTAAGCCTGAAACAATGACAGAGGTCGGTGCAGCCCTGTGCTAGAAAGGGAGGCTCCCCAGGTGATCAGGCCTGAGAAAGGATTATGTAAAATCCTGTGAAGCTTGCTTTGCTAAGAATGCTCTTAGTGAATTGATAAAGGCCGGAGCAGGAAATGAGTTTGTTTCCCAAAGTTTTGTAGCCTTTTAGCTGATAGACTCTGACTCATAAGAAGCCCTCGAAGTTCTTTGTATGCTATCTACTGTTTGATCCTTACTGCCTGACAATGATTAATGAGCTGTACCTGTATTCCTGTGTGAATTAAACCCAATAAAAGCCTGTCTAGGCAAGGGTCAGCGCACTCCCCCCTTGAGAGAGTGGCCATGCCGTCCCTTTTCCTCCACAGGACTTGGTAGCCCGTGTGAATTGTCTCATATCTCATCTATGATGCTGCGGGCACTGCCGGCCGGTGTTCAAGTTGAGGACCCAACAATGAGCATTTCTGACAAGTGTGCAAATGTCAATGCTGCTGTTCTGGGACCACACTTTCAGCACCATCGCCTTACAGCAGTGATTTTTCAACCATTTTCATCTCATGGTACACAAACTAATTACTAAAATTCTGTGGCACACACAAATATTTTTTTGCTGATCTGACAAAAAGTAGGTATAATTTAGATTGGTTTACAAAAAATAATAATAGTCGTAATTACCTACCCTTTTTGCTCCAGAGTGACTTTTTAAAAAAATCAAATGCCTATACTTGTATGTAAGGATTTCTGGTACCAAGAATTAAGCAGTTAGACACAACCTTATTATGCGACATGACCAATAAGATGCAACTCTATTATATGACCTATATATTTATGGTTCAAGGCAGGGCATTCACACTGAGAGGGCTCGTGTTGTGTTGGCTGTTGTTATTTTTTAACTTGACAGGTTAATGGAGAAGAGATCAGTGCCCCTGACTAAATAGTCAAGTATTGCATGTTTTAAAAATCTTGTGGAACACGGGTTGAAAATTGCCGCCTCATAGTAATACCTCCTTATTTTGCTGACTTCAAAGGCATTTCTTTGTTAAACCAGCAGGGGGAGACAGGTATAAAGTTTATTCTCTAAAAATAAATACCCTGCCTTACACTACCAAAGCTGCTTGGAGTTATGACGTTGCCATCGAGACTTCTGAAAAATTTTGGAAAGCAGAATGTAAGTTGGTAACAGGTGAAATATTTTTCATGTTTTTACATAAAAATGTATTTTGGTAGGATTAATACCCAGATTCCTACAAGCCGTAGTAGTGTCATGGTTAAGAATTTGGAATCTGGATTCACAGAGCTCTGCACCTTCCAAGCTTTGTGACTTTGGGAAAGTCACTTACCTTCTCTGATCCTGACTCCTTGTTTTTAAACTAGTCTGTATAGTAGTCCCCCCTTATCCCAGTGGATATGTTTTAAGACCCCTAGTGGGTGCATAAAACCAATGATAGTGCCAAACCCTACGTATACTGTGTTATTTCCTATACATACACACTTTTTACTTAAAGGAAGTGCACTCTGCAACTCCTCTTGGGCATCACTGAATTACAGCATCATTACTCTTGCCCTTGAGGGCTAGTATTGAGTAAAATAAGGATTACTTGAACACAAGCGCTGTGATGATGCAATACTGAGACGGTTGCTCTGATAGCCAAGACAGCCACTACATGACCTAATGGGTATCTTATGCAGCAGTGGATATGCGGGACAAAGGGGTGATTCAAGTCCCAGGCAGGACAGAGCAGGACCGTGGAAATTTCATCAAGAACTCAGAAGACATGCAGTTTAAAACTTAGGAATTGCTTATTTCTTGAATTTTCCATTTAATCTTTTTTGGACCATGGTTTACTGCGGTTAACTGAAACCTGTGAAAACAAAACCAGAGTAAGGGGGTATTATCGTACTCTACTGTATAGAATTGTTAGAAGGCTAAAAGTTCCTAGAACCGTTGCTGGTTACTATTATCAAAATATTATTAATACGCTAGTTAATTGTTACTTTTAGCTTTTTAGTCTCTCTAAAATTTAGAAATAGTTCAGATATGTTGCTATGTTTGTTTTTTAATACCCAGTGCTCCCCTTATTCAGGTAAAAATTGAAAACGTCTAGAAAGTAATTGCTTTGTAAATCCTAGTCTCCCCAACCTAAACTAGGTAGGATTTGATTAACGTCCCTGTCCCAGAGAGCTTTAACCTAGCCTTGATCTCTTAGCCTTCAGTTCCCAAAGGCAAGTGCGTTTCTTGGATCTTAAGCTCTAAGATGGATCGGGAGCAGATACCTGCCGGCTGAGTCTGGACACGGCACTCGCGTAGGGTCCGGTCAGACCTGCCCAGTAAGCAGGCAGGTCAGCAGGCAGGTCTGAGCAAGAGACCGCAGCTCCCCGCTAAGGGACACACCTGTCGGTAACCAGGCTCTTAATGGCCAGACCCCGACATTGGCTTTAGGGCGTCAGCCGGCAGGATCTAGCCCCTTGGTAGAAAGCCGGCTCGGTTGTGGGTGACGTCAGTGAGGGCGTGTCATGCCCCCGAGGGGCAGTGGGCGGGGCCTGCGGGAAGGTGTGCGAGGGGCTGGTTGGGGGCACGGCCGGTGGGGCGGGGCCGTGACGTCGCGGGGTGGTGCTGCTCCGCTGGCGCGCGGGTAGGTGAGCGCAGCTGCGGCCGCAGCGACGCTCCCTTAAGACCGCCAGCCGCACTGAGCAGCCCGTCGCTCTGCAACATCCCGCGGTGCTCACGATGTCCCTAAGAAGCAGCCTCTCGCGTCTCCGGACGCAAGTGCATTTCGTCCTGAGAAGGTCCGTCCACTCCGTGGCTGTGATCGGAGCCCCGTTCTCACAGGGGCAGGTGAGAACTAGGACCGGGCACCGCGGGGCAGGATCTCCGCCCTCCCCAGAACCAGAGAAAACTGGGGTGGGGGCGAAGGAACGGGGAGAGGATGGGGAGAAGCGTAGTGAGGACGCACTGGCGGGTTCCCGCGATTGGACATCTGGAGAGCACGTGGGATTTTGTCCGGTAGAAAATGGGGAAGGAGGGAGGGGATGGAGGTACCCTTTGTGCGGTTCGGACGGGGTGCTACTACCAGCTGGCGGGTTTCTGCGGCTCCCGAGGCGGAGCGAGAAAGTGGTGGGTCCCGCTTGGGGTGATGGAGGAGAGAGGGGAAGAGGGAGAGGATTCCACGGAGGGGCTGAGGAGGAGAAACCGGCTTGAATCCTCGGTGGAAATAGAGGGATTAGAGGTTAAAAAGAGCGATCTAAGAACTCAGGATCCATTCTCAGAGCTTTAACTGGGAAGGAAATTGGCGCTGGCCGCTGTAGCGGCGGGAGGGCGGGAGGGGCTGTTCAATGAAAGAAACCTGCCGCCCGCTCGCTGATAGAGAAGTCCGCGATCTGGCCCCTCCCGACCACTCGCACCCACCAGCCAGATCCTCACCTGGCGCAGCCTGGCTTGCCCTTCACACGTAGGGCTTGGAAGGTTAATCTGATTCCAGTGATTGTTGTTTTCCCCTCTGTCCCTGCGAGTGTTGGAAATAACCAGACCTCACGTGAAAATAATGATAATGGCAGGTTTTCAGAGGGTTCTATTGGGAACTAAATAGAGTAGTCCTCCTCGGTTTTGCCTTTCAATATTTGTGATCCATGATCACCGAGTTCTGAAAATATTAAATAGAAAAGTCTATGACAGGGACCAGAGGGAGGGGGGAGGGTCCAGATAAAGAACAAGTATAAATGACCCATGGATAGGGACAACAGAGTGGGGATGGACTGTGGGAGGGGCGGGGCAGGGGAGAGGAGGGGGGAAAATTGAGACAACTGTAAGAGAAAACAATAATATTAAAATAAAAAAGAAAAGTCTGTAAATACACAATTCGCAAGTTTAAAATCACACGCTGTTGTGAGCAGCATGATGAAATCTCTCGCAGTCATTCTCCGTCCTAGCGGAGACCGGAATCATCCCTTTGTCCTCTGTGTCCACACTGCAGGCACCACCCACTGCTTAGTCACTTAGCCCTTAGTTATAGGATTGACTGTTGAGATATTGCAGCGCGTGCTAAGCTAATGGTTCAATGTTATTATTAGTTATTGTTGTTCATCTCTGACTGGGTCTAATTTATAAATTAAACTTTTTCACAGAGTCTGGTACCATCTGCCATTTCAGGAATCCACAAGGTGTCTTGGAATGTATTCCTTGTGGATAAGGGGGGTTGCCATATAGCATAGCACATTTCTGTATTTTTGTGAACTATAGTCTTATTTCAATCCTCTTCCCTCACACCTCACTGTGTGATTTATGTGACAGAAAAGAAAAGGAGTGGAACATGGCCCTGCTGCGATAAGAGAAGCTGGCTTGATGAAAAGGCTCTCCAACTTGGGTGAGTGGGGGAGTCTGAGGTTCCGAGTGGGGTGGTGACAGACCTGTTCAGTCGTCTCTGTCACATCCAGGGACTGCACGGGGTCAGCTGTGCACGGCCTTGAGAAGTGTCTCTCGTCTTCCCTTGAATTCCCTCTGCAGCTTAAGACCTATCAGAGTCTTCAGGCCAAGACCTGTAGCAACAGAGTGTTTGGAAGGCCAGGAGGGAGAGAGGCAGGGCCTGGGACAGGCTGTCGATGACTGCACAGTGGTGCCGAGCATGGGAGCTCCAACTCCAACTGCACGGTGCACCTTTCTCCCTGAAATTCTACCTCTGCTAACTCAGTTGTGAGGTGCTCATGACCCATTAGTCTAGCCATTTTCCTTCTTCAAATCATTCCTTTCTTCCCTAGGATTGATAGCTTTATATTGCTATAAGCAGAGCTTTAGATTAATGTTTTCCAAACTTCCCTGATTAGGAAAATCACCTGTACTACTTGTTAAAAATACTGACTCCTAGGCTCCTCCATGGAAGATTCTGGTTCATTGGCACTTGCCGCAGTCCGGCCGCAGCGGGTCAAGGGGTCCCACAGGTGAGGGTAGGCGTTGGTGCTGGGTAACAGACGACAACACGCCTCAAAGGACAGTGAAGCTCTGCTCCGTTTATTGCAAGTACAAGCAGGTTTTTATATTTTCATTTTAGGTAGTGATTAACATTTGCAGTATAATATGATCATTTAAGCAGAAAAAATTAATACAAAGGTAATCAGTAAAAGTACGAAAGTTCCCATAGATTTAGTTATAATAAACAAAGATTATTTTAACCAGGAGAGCTATTAATCAGACAATTAGAAGTATCTTATTATTGTATATTAAAGTTTCTCAGAATTTGTCATAGGGCAAAAGGATACGCTAGATTGAGTAGAGAAAATAGGAAATTTATTATAAGGCCCTTGTGATGTCTAACTTAGCTATCTATCTTTTTTTGCCTAAAATGTTTTTCTGTGTACTATATATTCTGACTCTTTAGTAACTGTTTAGTTTGTAATAACTAGCTAGCTTTTGTTATTTCTTTGCCTGTCTAGTTGATATATATTCTTATTCAAGGTAAAGGAGGGGCTATTCCTATGTTGCAGGGGGCTTTCAAGGGTACTTCTTTTAAGTTTCTCTAGGAGTTCTTTTATAGACATGTTTTGTACTTTGATTCCCTCTAAGAAAGCAGTGAGATCATCTCCTGATTTCCTAGAGTTTTCTAACTTATCTTGGGTGTTTTTCCAATGATCTGTTATTGATTAAGCTTGAATTCTCAGATTGTTCTGGTTGTTTCTTTGTACCTATATTCCCTGACGTTTCTAGTATGATATCATTATTCTGTTCATTGAGCTGGGAAAGGTCTAAGCGCACTATCTGAATCACTGCAAGGGTATTCATAATGATTAAAGCAGAAAAGGTCATGATCCCCAAAGCAAGCACAATCACAATAGGTATTGCAGGGCCTTCCATGCCACGTCCACCAAGTTGGAAACTGCTTCCTTGAAGTCTTACACCCCCTCTCAGGACCTTGTCATGGAAAGAGGGACCCAGCAGTGGACGCGGCAGGCACTGACGCAGGACCCAGACAAGTGCCTTCTCACAAACACCCCAGGTAATCAGGAGTAAAGTTGCAGTCTAAATTTACAGAAGCAGAAGTCAGTGGGACCCAAAGATCGATGCCATTTGTGTAGTAATGGGAGCCCTTCTTTTAGTAGTAGGGCACCAAATTCCATCAGCTTTATGGTAGGAAGGTTCTTCCTTATACCTAACCCAAGTTTCAGGAGCCATTTCCTCCACGTGGGTTAGGACTATTCACGTAGCTTTTCTGGAGCTTTTCTGGAGCCTCAGGCATGCGGCAAGAGGCTGTAGATGCTGGAGATAGTAATACAGAATCTACTGTATTGGGTTGAATGCTCAAAATTTTTCTTGTTAAATTGCAGTTTTTTCTTAACCACTTGAATTAGCCTCCAAGTTCACCACCAAATATGAAAGACAAATTGTTAAGATTTAGTCTTAATGTATCACTCATTACCTAATGGAGGAGGGTTTTATTCCTGCTTATAAATGAGGGTACTGCCCCTTTAAATCAGTTATACCCATTCTGCCTTTTTAAAAGCATTATTGTACACTGAAGACAGCCATCTCTGGTAATCACTGTGTTTTAATACTGGGTAGACCTATGCAGCCAATCTGATGAACTGGGCCTGCCGTTGCTCGAACTGCCTGCTCATTGCTGGATTCTGCCTTCAAAGTCTCCTGACAAGAATCATTTTCAGCCTCTCACACAGGAGCCTATACTCAGCTAAGGCTGCTGAGTGAGGGGGAGGGGCTCATTTGTAGCCGCTGGTCCTACTGGAGCTTTGTAGACCTTCGTTCCTGTCCCAGCTCCAGGTACTTTTCCACTCCAGCCTGGGGCAGCCATTCTCCCTTAAATGCTATAGTACTTCCTCTGTAAATGCTCAACCTAAAATGATGGGGAAGCTTCAGTTTCTTTGATCTTCCCTTTCATGAAATAAATATTTTTAGTTTTATAACTTATATTTTTACCCTGTAGCCAATTGGTAGCCCAATTGGTAGCCAGACTGCTGGAGCAGTCTGAAATAGAATCTCATTGCATATTAATATGCAATGATTGTGGCACTCAGCAGATTTCCAGCGTGTGTTTGGGCTGCTCTCCAGGAACATGTGAGAGAAAAGCACTGTGAGGAGTTTCGGTGCCCTCTTCTGAAACACCAGTAGTACCAGGATAACTTATTCCTCCGAGCACTTCCAAACAAGCAGCATGCATCCAATTTTGAGAAAGAGAAGACCCAAGGAATGGTAACTTTTCCAAATCCTTTGTCCCTCGCCTTCTGTGCTGATGTCACAGGCTGCCGATGTTGCCATGGTACCAAACTTCCTGTTTTCTCAAATGTATTGACCTGGTGTTTGGGTTTAGTAGGACATTCAGTGGCTCCTCACTCAGGTAAGCACCTAACTTAACATAATAAAGAGAACCTGGGAGAAATAAAGAGGCAATCCCTTTGGCAAGGCTCAGACGCAGTGCCTCTGCTCCTGATTCCTGTTAGCTCTGACGGCCGTGGTAATCTGCCCCTTCTCTTTCTGTGGGGAAATACACCTGTGCACTAAGATTAGCTGTTTGAGGCCTGTCTCATTGTAGTTGTGATCATTTGACCTCAATGTGGTACTTCAAAGAGGTGACAGCCTCTGGCACAACCATCTAAATTCATGTGCCGCTGTGACCAGGCCAAGAGTCTTGGAGTTTAGGAAGCCATGTGAGAGCTATCCTAACCTATTTGGGACATTTATTCCCACTTATTTGTCCCAATTTGGGACATTTATTTTTTCTGTTCCATTGGTGCTCCATCAAAGGAACAGGGATCTCTTTGGTTGAGACCCAAGAATCTGATCTGCTTCAGCAAGAATTGATAAGAGGGCCTGAGAGAATTGTTTAAACATAGGGATATGACCTATGAGAGCCGTTTATCTGGAACAGGTCAATGTATGAGATCAGGCATCTGTGTTTGCTTTCAGTGGCTGGTAGAGAATGTCAACAATCCCAAGTTTAGTTAAACAATAGCGATGCTGCAGCCTGCTTCCCGTCGGGCCATTCCACTGAGACCAACTCGAGCAAGCTCACCGATTTATCAGATGTTATGTTACTGGACATCTCTATTGCACAATTGACCGCTTTATTCTTAAAATATTCCGTCAGCCAAGAATCTACTCTCCCCTGAGTCTCCCCTCTTTGGTCCTGCCTGGAGTCCTTTGTGGGATCTTCTTCCTCTTCCTCTTCCTCTTCCTCTTCCCCTTCCCCTTCCCAGCCCTCAAATGTTGATGGGTCTCTTTCACATGCATCCATGCTTCTCAGTTTTGTCCTATGCCATCTAATTTGCCATATTATTTATTCTCATGGTTTTTAAATTGGTTTTAAAGCTTCATACTTTTGTTTTCTAATTTATTAAACTTACTGGGGTAGCATTAAGTAGTAACATTACATAAGTTTCAGGGATACAATTCTGTGATACAACATCCGTCTATTGCGTTGTGTGCTCACCACCCACACTCTGGTCTTCTTCCATCACCATACATTTGACCCCCTTTACTCTCTTCATGGTGAGTCTCAATGAAGTCACACCAATGAGGGTCATTTTTTTTTTTTCCAGTGGCCAGTTTGTACAAGTCCAGTAGTGATTGATTCACACTTTCCCCCCGAGTGTAACGCATAATCCATTGCATTCAGCCCATTCTCCCAGTCATCACAGTCTGGCGTCTTGATATTCTGAGGGAAGATTCGGCCACCTCGTTGGTTCTGCAGCTTCATCAGTTTCTCAGCATGTTCTCTCTCCTCCTGAAACTGGTGAAGAAAGAACTTGGCAAAGTCCTTCAAAGCCCCATCATCACAGTCAATGTAGTGAGACACAGACAGGCAGACTTAGGAAGCTTAGAGCTCTAGGTTGATCTGGCAGGTTGATGGCAGCCTACCTGGTGGTAGTTCTGGCACACCTAAAAGCTGGACATGATTGTCATGATAGGTGGCTGAGGACAGGCAGCTTCATGGCACTGAAGTGGTGGCAGGGACCTTGGGGCAGGCAGTCGGAGGGCTCTGTGAGGAGGTGGCAGAAGGGGACGGATCTGAGCAGTTGGCTGGGATGCAGGGTCGAGTGCAGGGTTCCATTCAAGCACTATTGAAGCAGGAAACCACGGCGATTCTTGGTAAAGACTGTGGCCTGTGATTTTCTTTTTGTGTTTTGTGCTTGCCTGGTTTTGGTATCAACGTAAATGGTGGCCTCATAAAAATAGGAAGTATTCCCTCTTCTTCAGCTTTTTGGAAGAATATATGACCGAGGCTATTTGATAATTGAACCAGCTGAAAGAACCTTGAGGGTAGAGGAAGTTTCTTCTGCCCCCACAGTTGCATCATGAATAGGATACCTCGCTGGCTGGGCACTGCTGATGCTGAAGCTCTGGCAGTAGAAAGATCCTGGG